AGGGATTTACACGCACTGGGTCCATCTGTGTTTCTCCTGAGATTCCCTGGATCCGTCCATTAGCCCCATGGGCTTGGCGGCTGCAGAAGTTGCTGTGAAGCTCCCCTGACCTGAAGGTTAGGTGGGCAAGCAGATGCTTGCCCTCTCCGCCTCTGGAAACGGGAGAAGTTCCTGATACCTTTCAATGAAGAACAAATAGTTAAAAAAAATCCTGCCTTTGCTTTTGGTGGCATTTCTTCCAGTTTGCACAGATCGGCACAACAGTGTGCAGTGCCCAGAGCCGCGACGGAGGATACGTGCATTTGTATTTGTCTGGTCCCATCTACACCAGCAAGCTCTTGAAATGTAGCCTAGCTGGCAGATCTGGTCAGGCTGGGAAACTTAGTTTTAGATGGTTTTTTGTTTGTTTACAAGTGATGTTGGCCACAGAGAGGGACACACAGCTGGTGGTCTGTGCACGGCTCTGATCAGGCTGAGGCAGGGCTCCGAGCCTGCAAAAGCTGGAGTGGGGCTGAGCTCTTCCAGCTTACCCCTGGCTTAATTTGGAGCTGGCACTGGAGAGGCTGCTACTCTGCTGCCTCGTCCTGCGGGCTGGCGTCTCGGAGCCTGGTTTGGCTTTGCCTGCACGGGCAGCAGCATCCAGCACCCGTCTGCGGCCGTGGCTCAGAGCAGGCGCACGATGGATGCCTCTGCTTGCTCCAGACACGCTTCTCCTGCGGACCAGAGAACACCTCTCACTGTTCACAATAACTGTTTTAATACAAATATCGCACAAACACAGATACTGTTCTTCTTTACTAATTGTGACAGCATTAGACAAGGTGGGAGAGGTGCGCGTCTGAAGCCCTAGCATCTCAGAGAGGGCTTTGCAAGTGGCTTTTGTGAGGTGTTCGTGTGCCAGCGTGGTTCCTGCTGGCTGCGGGGACCCGTGTGAGCAGCTAGTGGCACAGCTCGAGCAGAAATGACACAGTGGAGATTTCTAATGACACTGATGTGCTGTGTGCCAGCCTTGAACTTCAGAAGACCTGTGTCGGGGAGCGGGGAGAAGGATCAACACTAGCCCATCGGTACTGCAAACCCAGTATTAAGGGAGTGCTTTCCTGCAGCAACTTTGTGATAAAGGGTGGTGGAGGGAGAGACCGCTGAAAGCCGTGACCTTCCAGGCAGGATCTGTTTCCCAAACACGCATTAAACAGTGGCAGACTCCCGCAGGTGTGGGCATGGGGGAACCTGTTAAATTAAAGCCAAAGCATAACAAGAGAGGTGTTTGCTTTGGAAGATAACGTGCACCTGTTCTGCACGCTGAGGGTGAGGAAACTCTCCTAGGCGTGTTTTCCTTTGTTACCACAGTAGACCTTTTGCACTGTGAGGCCACGTAGCTCCCCCTTCTCCCCCTCCGTTACCTTTTAAGACCAGGTATCATTTCCCTCAGCTTTACCAGCATCTCCAATCGGACAACTTAGAAGCATGATAATGGTGGCAGTTGCTCCTTTTCCTCCATCCGTACATCTCATTGTGGAGCTGACCATGTCACCAAAGTTTGCTGCCCAGACTGATGCTGTTATGAAGGTGCCTGGATCTCCAGTACGTGCAGCCCAGTCGCTGGCTGGAGTCAAAGGAGGGGCATGCTCCTAGCAAGGTGCCCTTCGGTGGAGCTGCTCTAATGAGCCAGCTTCGTTATCTGCCTTGCTGCTGGTCCCAGAGAGGCTGCAGGGACGTCTGCTGCTTTATGTTCTTAAATGGCACCAAATGATAGCAGTTAAGAGCCTACCAGGAGAAAATGAGCTCTTAGGGCAGCATTTCATGTCTTGCATGCAAGGCTTTATTGGATTAACTTTGTACTAGAACGCTTCCCTCACTGGAGAGGCCGATCTAGCTTAACTTTGGGATAAAAACTTTACAATCATATTTTTGTCACAGAGGTGACTTGCATAAAAAAATCTTTACGTGCATTAATGTCATCTCAGCTTTGGCAAGCCCGCAAAACAGGCTCTTTCTCAATGATCTCTGTCTCTATCTTAATGCTGCACTCATTCCAGCATTATGTATGTAACTCTCTTGCTTTGCTTCTTATTTTCCACATTAGGGACAGTGTACTTCCTCTCCCACATGCCCCTTGCAAATGTACAGGCACTGTGAGAGAAACCCCCAGCGTTGCTGTCGCTGTTCAAGCAATGCCTTTTGCCTCTGTGGGTACCTGCCAGCCTGCGGGAGGGAGACTTGCATACTTTCAGCTACTTCCCCATTATTTACACATAAAGTTAATAACTGACTCAAGAGTTCATCTACAAACATATTTTTAGGGCTGCTCTTGGTAAATTTTTCCCCTCTCGGCCACAAAGCTCTTGTTTTCTGTAATTTCCTTCCTATATTTTCCCTTAACCCTAATCCTTTTTAACATTAATGCATTAGTTTTGAAACAGCTGGTGTATTCTCAGCCTCTTCTTCTCCCTTACCTGCTGATTATTTCTTTTTTTCACTGTCCTCTATCCCTACTTCTGTTGTTTGCAAAAAAAGGCTTTTCTCCTCCCTCTCCCTCTTCACAGCTCCCACCATCTGTCTCTCTACAAATACAAAGCTTTAGGGGAAATGATTCACTAGGCTGCTAGCTCATTACTCACACTCTCCCCATCATGGTTTCTGTCCTTGTAGGATGCTCTAACTAATGTAAAGATCAATGAATCCTGGGAATTGTTATTCAATTAAAAAAAAAAAATGCCCCAGCAGTTAAATAGATTGGGGTCTTTGTAATTCCTAAACACTAATGCTTAGTTTTTCTTCCTCACTCTGCTAGTATTGTTTTTCAGAAAAGGATCATTGAAACAGAAGAATAGAAATGATCACTGGACCATTTAATGCAACCTTGTGTATCACATGATGCAGGAGTTACTTAATGAAATTCCCTGGCCCAAACCAAGCAAATCTGTGGTAAATCTAGAGCACATATTTTAGGATGACAGCCAAAATGATGAAAGGAATTTACTACCCAGCCTCGCTAATCATTTTGAATGCTTAACTGCGCTCCCTAATATGCTGCTTTGCAAGCAGCAAAACCGACACAGCCTCATGCCCTACAGATTTCTCTCCTCCAGCCTTACCCAGACTGTGCACCCCGCAAGCCCTCCCAGCGCCCTGCCAGCCCCGTCCAGGGGCAGGGTGGCCAGCTGTGACTCCTGTGAGCGCTGGCCGGCCAGCTGCCCACCTCTGGGAAGAGACCTCCCCTGGCCTGAACCCCCGCAGCCTCTCCCTCCGCAGCATGCAGGTTTGGCGCTAGCTCTTTGCTCAGGTTAAGTATTTCCATGAAACTCGTAGGCACTTAGTATCTTTGAGCTTCTCCCTATTAAATGTGGTAGAACTTGGCTAAGGGGCTCAGAAGCCATTTGAGACAGATTAGTTCACAGTGTTAAAACACTAGAGATATCTTAAAATACCGGAGACGGCCATATCGAGTTGGCAGATACGCCATAGCATTTCAGGAAACTTGCTCAACCTGGAGGCTGAGCTCAATACTGTAGGGCACTCCAAGTGACCTTAAATGTCGATGTTTAGATACCCACATCCCACTCCTTTTGTCTTCACTTTGTTGACCTTTTAAGAAGGATTTCTGTCATGATTTGAGGCTTGTCACCATATACTAGAAAGTTATTTTCTTAATTGGAAGCTTAGTTTTTCATTTTATCACATGGAAAATGGATCTCCCCTCCCCACACGCAAGTAGGTAACTAGCAGTACCACTACCTAACACAACTTTATTGTGCTTTGTCGAGAAGCTGCTGGCACGGTAGGTATTAGCCTATGTCAGTTGCTGAGCTTCCCTTTAGAATCGGAGTTGTAAGAAGCACAGCAAATAAATACCTCAATCAAAATTATAAGAGTTGGCAACACTGGCTACACCCTTCTCCCAGTTCTCTTAAATGGCTGCAACTCTTTATGCAAAAGCCTGCTAAAGGAAAATCTGAATATATCTGCAATGTGGTTCTTCAGTTGTTTCTCATCAGCACCACAAAGCACGTCCTGTATCAACACACCACACTGGCATCACCTTCATGGAAAGCTAATTAAATAATTTGGGTAATGTAGCAGGAGTATCAACTTCTGGGCTAATTTACTTTTGGACTACCAAACACATGTACTTTTTTATAAAGCTGTGTTTGAGTCATTCTATGACAAATAATAAAGCTGAGGAGGATCTTGGAAAGAGCCTGCATTGAGCAGGCATGAAGTGCTCTGTGTCAGAGCAGGACATTCTTGTACAACTACTCTAAAGAATAAAGGCTGCGGAATTTTAAGAGAATGCGGTCCACTGTTACCTCAGTAAGGTTAAGGCAGTTTTAAAAAAAGAACCCTCACCAAAGTCGTGTGCTCTGTAAAAAAAAAGTTCAAATTTTAGCAGATGTGATGTTGTTGAACCTTCCTGGTTGCTAACACCCCATGGCTCTCCAACATCTTTGATTATTTTATTGTTTCATACTGCATACAAGTTGTAGGAGTCAATGTTATTTCTCTTAACAATTGCTGGCTTTCCAAATGCCAATTGTCCTTTGACATGCTCTGTTTTAAATAATGGCCGAAGAGCAGTAATGAAGCTAAAGGCCTGCTATAAAAAGTACTGTAGCGTTCCACGGTACTGACAGCACACACGTAGTCATGCGTTTAGCTCTCCTTTTGTGAACTATTGCTGCAACATGCTGAAGGTGTTAGGGGCCAAGCTGTAAGGAAATGGAACTCCAGAGATTTCAGATCTGAGAGTCCTCTAATTGAAGACAGCGTCTTTATGCAAGACAGGCTAAGGAAAACTTGCATTACCCAACAGTTACCATTCCTCCGTTGTTCCCAGCAATAATAAAAGCTGACGCAATATATAAGGTTGCCTTACAAAAGGCAAATATATTTAATAGTGTTTATACAAATTAACTGTTCGATAATGCTATACAAGGCAGGAATATCTTTAAAGAAACCCTGAGCAAAAAGGAGGATGTAATTTTTATTTTACACTTATTGCAACATTATTTCTGGTATTTGTTTGCTATATCAACTAATAAAGGAATATGTTAAAAACAGATGTTAAAATAAAACTGGGCATTCTTTCCATTTGCAGCTTATTTAAAAATCTAGAGAAAAGAGTTCTGTCCCATCAGCTTCAGAAGTAGATGTTTAACATGGTAGAGAACAAGTTGAGCCTGAGTTACCCAAGACAACCAATTCCTTTTGCAGAAAGAGTGTCTTCTGTCATCAAAAAGAGCCATCTGGAAGAGCCTTGGCTCTCTGCCAAGAACAACCCTTTAACAACTGCTTGTCGTGCACTGTAAGTAATAACGTTCATAATGGCACAACCTGGAGTGTTGGTAAAGGTCCTACTGGAGGAGCAACGTATTCCTCCTCCCTCAGTAACCGCAAAAGGATGTTCTTCTTATTCTTTGGCCAGTTATAAATGTGAGTGTTCTGCAGCCAGGTAGGCACGTGTTCCTGAAAAACAAATGGAAAAAAAGCAAAATCCCATAAATCCTCCTGAATCTGTACCAGAACCTTGCAGATTCCATCAGACTCTGCCAAGCAAGATTTCATTTTGTCTGTTCTAGGCACTTCCCGTAACAACAAGAAATTTTAATTTGGCTTCAGAATTGTATTTGGGTTCCTAAATAAATGAACTTCGTGTGATCTCACAGCTTGCCTGTCTCTCTTTCTTTCCTGCCATCACATTGGCTAATTTCACCATGTTTCAAAGGCAATCTGATCTCAATGACAGGCAACTAAAGGCTTGTGAAAATAAACATTGAGAAGAGAAGGGAGGCATTTCAGTGCCCCTACCAGGGAAAGGCTGCCACTTTAGTAGCTGCTGAAGGATCTACACAACATGTTCAACCTTGTGATGAGAATCAATAGGGAAAGAGCAGGACCTCAGGGGAGCATTTCTTATCCTGGTAGCCTTCTTCCCCCTCCCCTTGCACCTTCCTTCACCAAGTGTGGTGTCCTCTGGCCACCTCCTCAGCAGGAGGTTGAGGCCAATGCTTGAGCTCGAGGAGAGACTAATGCATCTCCAGATTAGCAGGGTCAAACCTCCACCACTCCCTGCATCCTGGAAAGATGCAGTCTTTCAGAGGGGTTGGCTATGTCCATTAAGACAATGAAGCTGGGACCACCATGCCCTTGGACAGTGACAGCGGGCTGATGGAGAGGAGCCTGCTCAGACCTCATGTTCTCATGTCTCCACAGCCTTGGGAGGCTTCCATATGGACAGCCTGGATGTGCAGGAGTGACGGGCTATTATACCACTCATTAAGAGGGTCAAAGACTGATCCTTGATCAAAACCAGCTCATGTCCACCGTGAAGGTGGAGATTTCTTTTTGGAGAGCTTATTTAGCAGGGCAGTATTCTCCCAGGGTGGCCCCTGTTAGGAGCAGCACAACCCCTGTCAAGCGAGTGGAGCTAGCTCCAAGGGGACAGAGCAAAAAAGCTGCTGGCGTGGACCATGTCTCTGGCTCCTCGCCAGGGGATGCCCTGGCAGGGGCAGCACACGTCCTGCCTGCCAGCAAACAGCCTAGCTGCAGTCCAAATTTTTCATTCCAAAGCCTCATGCTTCTCAAATTGGCTGTCTTTTCCTTGGCCTGTACAGCCGTAGGAATGAGGCTGCATCATTTCCACTGCGCAGGGAGCGGTTTGTGTTAATTGATGCAACCGCTTTGTTAGATCTGTACGATTTTTGTATAAGAAGGAGGTAAGTCACACAGGCACCTACAGACCCATTAGTCTGACCTCACCTAGGCTTCTGCGCAAGCAGCTTGGTGAGTGGCAGAGATATCTATCAAGCCTGGCTTTCCTCTTTCTCCAGTGACTGAGAAAGTATAGGCTTTGGTCAACCATCTCCGCAAAGTGGAGGTTTTAAAATGTTGTTCTTCCAGGTGGACACCTCACTGCCCAACAAGGGTAAGATCCTGCAGCGTTCCCTTTGGTAGGAGCATGAATAACGTTTCTTGCCTCCACCTGCAAGTCTGTTTTTGCACAGGAATGGATTTTAATCTTTATGCACTTTACTCCTTTGACAAACCTGTTTGAAATTGGCCAGGAGATTCGAACGTTACTGGGAGACACAAAGATAATTATGTTTACGTGCACACTCTTATTACATAAAATTTGTTTCTTTACTGAATCTTGTTAAGAGCTATAGAAGGAAATGCAATGAAATACAGCAAGGGTTTACCAAATGAGCCGTCTCTCTGTCTTTGATAAGAAACTACATTTTTTGGAGGAAGGAAATGCGGTAGGCATAGTCGGTCTGGACTTCAGTAAAGCATTTGATATTGGTCCACATGGGAAATCATTAGTTAAGCTTGAAAAGATGGAAATTAGTGTGAGAAATGTATAGTAGGTAAGAAACCAGCAAGTGGGAATATAATGAGAGAGGCACTATACATCCAGGGACAGGCTCTGCTCCTTTCTTCCAGAACTGCTCCTGTGGCCAATTTCATTTAATATCCTCCATAATGAACTCAGTGCTAAAACCACCTGCATGCTTATCAACTCTGGCAAGAATTTCAACCTGAGGGAGGTGTGTAGGGGTAAAGGGGTAACTATAGCTGCTATTTTGATCCAGAAGGAGAGCAGAGAAAGTGAGAAGGGGGCTTTTCTTTGCCATGCAACACCAGCTGTCATTGTGAGTGGGAGTAATGGGAAAATGGTTACTGCCCTTTTAATGTTTTTTTATTCAGCTGTGTATATGTAAGCCAAGAGGAAATTCTCTCTACACCACAGAGACTATTTGGTAACTCTGAGGATCAAACTGGTAGGAAGAGGGCAGAGGGCAGGGCTGTGTGTTCAGGGCCATGTTGGCGGAGCACAGTTTGAGCTCTCCTGGCTTCTCCGGCACCGACCCTGCTCACCTCACCCAGCCGTCTGCTGCCGCTCTGCCAGAGAGAGCCTCCAGCGTGGGGCAGTTAGGCTTAATGCTTTGGTCATGGGGTGACCAGGTCAGGAGGACGCATTTCTGTGGTTTGGCTCAAAGCAAGCCTTGAACCAGCAAGACCCAGGTTTCCTTTAGCAGTGTACGATGGGAAGCTGGAAATACCAGTTCCACCTTAACTGTGTGTTGTGCTTTTCCCCCTCATTATTCAATTTCCTAATGAATGCTCTTTGGATCACATAGATCCCTTCCTGTTGGAGGCTGACTAACTTTCACATACCAGCAGTGCTTTATGATGTGCTTCGTATGAGATTAACTCATATAATAGCCCCGTCCCCAGATGAAACCTTCCAAACCTTGCTTTCCTGCTCTTTTCCACTGTCAGCTACAGTAGTACTTGAACATGTAAAGGACAGCACAAAAAAGACAAAACGAAAGTGATTTTCCCACCAGTATCATCCAATTGTACATAGATATGGCATTTTTCAGGTACCTTGCTTTGTCTGCCCACAGACTTCATTACTGCAATTTGTTCAGGCTCTGATGCTCTCCTTCCACCCATGACGTCCTCAATTATATTATCATTTAACTAGTTAGATGAAGGTAGATGATGTACCAAAGAAATGTGTGGAGAAAGAGAGCAAAGCAATGGCAATAGAAAATGCTGATCTGCATAACTTAGATGAGACAGGCACCTCCTGAAAAACTGAAGGGTGATGTGGACTACAGAGGATGGGCAGGAAGGCTGCCTGGAGCCTGATGCTTTGATAGCAGCAGCTGAATAAACCAACCCTGGAAATTCCTTATAGATCACTGTCTGAGAGAACCGCCGCTATATGCTAAATAGTCTTCTGATACGTAAAGTTCAGCCAAAATTAACGTAAGTGTATTGTTCTTGTGTCTGCCTCAAAGCCCAAAGGCAGCTGTAGTGCCTGCTGGGCCACTTCTCTCTGCAACCCTTAAGGTGCCGAGTGGCCAGGCTGTATGGTTGGTTCATGTAGCAGGCACTCAAGGAGCCCCCAAGGTTAGGAGCAGTCCTGCCCTTTCCCCCCAGACCAAGCTGCAAAGACTGACTGAAAAAGCTGACCAGTTCCCTGCCTTTGGTCTGCCCAATTCCCACCAGGGCTGCCTCCCAGCTTGTCACACTTAAGGCAAATACCAGACTGAGATCATTCGGGAAGGGAGCTGAATGACATGGAATACCAGAGGTACCGCTCATTCCAGAAGACCTCACATATTTTACAAAGCCAGGGACATAATTTCAAATTTCTGAGCTTATATTAAATCAGTGCCTAAATAAGGAACTTTGTTACACTAAAATCCACAAGTGCAGTGGAACTTCACAGCCCTACAGTGATTGATACCATTGTTTAAATTTTGACTCACGTTCCAAAATTTGGGGACCTAAAGAAATAGAAAGAATCTTTCCATACTTTTCCAATATGCAGCTGTACCTAGGGGTAACATGACAGCTACCCAACAGTGCGCACGGCATTTGGCGACAAAAAGTGAACATGTATACAACACATCCATTCTATGTTTGGGGAAGAATGCAATTTCTCAAGTATAACTGAACCTGTTTAACTTTTCTGGCCTTGTAAAAATCCAAGAGATTCTCTCAGAGTGAGGAAAAAGAGATGGGAATCTGTTGCATTACTTATTTCTTATTCTCAAATGAATCTTCAAAACCAGTAAGGAGGGCAGATGAAATTGCAAGTCCTAAAAAACCTTATAGTTTGCCTTTGATGGGCCCATCAAAGTTCAAGCAATGGCCTAGTACTTTAATATTTATTATCCTCTTTATTTTTGTATTCTCAACCCACCCTCTTCCAGATCCTCACTTCACATCAGTCATAAATCTCTCCCATCTCACTCATCGGCATTACATCTGGAGAAAATTATAAAAGGGTTAATATAAAAAGCGTGCTTGCTGGATAGATTGTCTCTCTCCATTTAAATTCTTTCAATGCTCAAGACGATGTGAGTTTTAGTTGTACATTCATCATCAGAAATACATTTATGTGCTGATTTATATTGTGGATGAAATGTTTTTTATTTGTATGTACATAGAACTATAAACTTTTAATGTAAAATGTAGCTTTGGAGTATTACTAGTGGGATATTAAGAACCAAGAAATTGAGAGCTTGGGTTTTAAGATTTCATCTGGTGCACAGTGATCAAAATAATATGTGCTTAATCATGTGACAAGTATATATGCATGTATGTACGTTACCTTTTTGGCATTTGGAAAAAGCACAGGGATGAATCTGAAGTTCATACTTCCTTGTTGTATAAACTCGATCTGCATCTAGAATAGAACAAATTGCCAGATTTATTGTAATGACATGTTAATTTTTCTTCACATGCATCTGAATCCTATGCGTAAAAACATTTGTTGCTTACTTAAACTGCTCTTCTGTTAACTGATTTGGTCTATTGCTGGTGGACTCGATACCGTTTTGTTTGGCCACTTAATCTGATTCTTCATTACTACAGAAAGGGTACAGGAAAGATCCGTCAACATTTCTTGAGCATTTAGTTCTGTGGTGTGAAATAATTGTGGGTTTAGCTGCAGTTGCAGTCCCATGAAATCCATCTAGAACCGATGAAGCTTGACTTGACTAAGGCCCCTGTTCAGTCTCCAACAGGGTGAAAGATTTCAGCCGGAGGCCAGCTCCGTGTCTGAGCTGGGACCCAGCCTGTCCCCCATGTCCCCAGACACAGGCATCCTGGGGGTGGGTGGTAAGGACAGCAAAGTGCTGCTGAGAGCTCATTCGTTGGTGACAGCTTCTGGGAAGTCTGACCACAGGATCAAACCGGGGAATCAGATGGGTTATAGGTTGAGAAAGGCAGCAAACTGCAAACTGAGGGAGAAAGGATGAGCTTCACGGCTCTGTGGGCTCTTCTGGGCTAAATGTCCATCCCGTGACAGACTGCAGAGATGGGAATCTGTGACCCCCCCAGTCTCCTGCCACCCTGCACTCCCCAGGAGCCCCCCCCTTTGCAGCTCTGGCCTTCGCTTTGCAATTCCACCTTTCAGCCAGCTTTACTGCTGCCCGAAAAAAGACCTCAGTTACAGGATGGCCGAAGCGATAGGGGCTCGTTTATAGGGAGGAAGGTCAGGCACTGTTAGATAAGATTGTGCTCAGGGCTACACAGCAGGGCAACAATGGCTCAAGAAGGTGAAGGCGGGGAAAAAAAATGAACAATAAAGAATATGGAGAAACAAGATGAGCATGTTTAATAGGACTTTTCTTCCTTGAACCTCTTAGCAGATGTTAATGAGCATACGGAGCTGATGAGAGGGAGGATTAATGAATTCCAAAGGGGGGTGTTTAACTATGGGGATTAGGGAAAACAAAGCAAAGAACCTGCCATTTGGAGACAGATTTGTCTTTTGAGAAGAAGAGACAGAGTCTTTGTAAAACAGCAAATGCATGTTCTTGCTTACCATCCTGTGGATGTATTTAGTATGTAAGCCGTGTTCATCCCTGTCCAGCTGGGATTCAGCCCCTTCCACATCCTGTTTGTATTTTGGACTGATTGCTATGATTATCATCACCGTCTTCTGTTAGGGAGAAAAGCACTTTTATGAAATTGGGAAACGCAGTGTGTTTGGTAGAGGCAGATCGGAAAACTGCCAGTTTGTGTTTTAAGTGATCTTTATGTTCTTGGCAAACACGAGAGGATCTCATTCATTCTGGCAGGAAATACAGGAGAAGCTCGCACACTCGTTCTCCTCATTATTTCTCGAGATCTCATAATATAGAAATTCTAAATGTCAAGAGATATATTAGCAGCTACCAGTTTACAGTTGGAATCCCTGTAATAAAAAGCTACTTTTTATCAGTGTAGAGTGTCTATGTACATACACAGAAAAGTTTTATCTTCAAATTCAGACCTAAATATTTTCCAACAGCTTATGTAAAAGTGCATCTATTTAACCATCTATGGCTTTTTACGCACAAAGCCACTAAAGGCAGCTGTCTATGGAAGCTGCATCTAGGGCTCTCTGCAACAGAAATGACAACTTTCTTGCTGAGCTTAGCAGCAAAGTGTGCAGAGAGGTGGCTGTGCAGAGGGGTGGGCTGCTGCGGGATGGCCTGGGCAGGTTTAGGGTTACCTATCAACTCTGTCCCACCTTGCCGCAGCAGGCTGAAGGCAATGCTCCTCGCCTTGCCGGGACAGCCCGGATCCTGCCTGTGACCTGTTTAATCCCAGGCCCCCACTAAGCTCAGGTTTCCACAGAGGGGCCATCCTTCATATCTGGGAAACATCTCTCCTCCTTAATGGTGGGCCGGTGAAGAGGCTCAGCAGATGAAAGCCTCCTACTTGTGTTTACCTAGGGCCTGTCTTTCATCCCCGCCACATCAGGCTGTGTAAGGCTTCCAAGTCTGTGCCTCATAGTCAGCCTGGCACCTAATTAACTCCTTCCTTCTGTGCAATATCAAGGGAATTTGCCCCACCACAGGGTCAAATACGGTAAGGAGCCATTATCCCTTACACCAACTTAACATACTCCAGAATTACTTTTGCTTCTGCCTGACATGTATGTAAGCACTTACAGATGTTGAGGGTTTGCAGAGACATGCCCGGTTGCACACATCCCCCTGCTTGTGTCCAAGCAGTCCCTTCTTCCTCACACATATAAAGGTTTTGAAGTTAGAAACTGCCTCTACAGTCAATGGAGGAAAACAAACATTTCTGGGGCGGGCAGTCAGAGAAGGATCCTCATCTGGAGGCAGGGAATTGCTCCCTACACATATTGGTCTCTCCTACTGACTGTGCAGGAGTCCCAAAGGAGATCTGTCAGGTTGCATTTTAAGTGATAATGATGTTTTTGGCAAAAGCAAATTCACCCTGGCTTCTGATTTCAGTACCTCTATTGCACATAGTGAGCCGAAGCCTAATTTGCCCTGATGAAAGTCCCAGAAGGGATAACTGCATGGCCCCAACAGAGGCCCCAAGCTTTCTCCACATGCAGTAGTACCATGCCTGCGTGGTAGTGCACCTGAGCCAAGGTGTCCTGCTGGATACCTTTAGGAAACCTGGGTACCGCTGTCTCAGGTGGTTGAGCTTCCTTGCTCAGGTGGGGGAGAGCCCACCACTTTGTCATCCTGTTCCCAAGCCATGGAGATCTGCCCAGAGTGAGTCAGAGGCCCGGTGGCTACCCAGCAAGGCACGAATCAAAGGAAGCCACCCCATGATGGCATGTGTCGAGAGACAGAATCGCCAGTTTGTGTCCAGCTGTGCTGGGGTAATGGGACCACTTGGCGTGATCCTGAAGGAGATGTGCACTCACTGCTCAGCTGAACTTCAGAGGAAGTTGTTGCTGCGGGGGGCTGTGCTGGCAGCAACATAAATCTCTGTTTTACTGCTTAGATAGATACACAGTGATGAGAGCAAATCTATCATTTGACTAACAAACAGAACACCAATTTCCAGTTTAGATATAAGATGGTTTATCCAGCAGAACCCTTTAGTGTTTTAGATAGCAACGTAAAAGCTACTGGTGAGAAGCAGAATGAACATTAGCCACTACTATGCAGCCTGGGATGAAAACCAGATATCATTTTAACCAAGCATAGCTAAACCCCACTATTTAAAAATGAGATGGAGGAGCAACTGGTCCAATGGCAGCTTCAGGCTGAATGTAACAGCCAGCATTGGAATTTGGCAGGAATGCCAGGATTAGCACTTCATTTCTTAAAGAAAGAGCTTTGGGACCATAAGATATGGAAGTGAGCGAGATTTGCCTATGCTCTCTCTGCAAGGCCTCTGCCATTTGTGTAGGGGCAGGGAAGACGATAGTAGGGTCTTGCATTTTGATTCTGCTCCTGTTACTATTAGAATAATTCAACCATTTTCCTCAGGTCACCTCTGCCATGCACAAGGTTAAATTGCCTTTACATACATCACCTAGGTAGCGCTCCATCCACTTAATGATGTCAATACCTCGTACCGTGTCTTCAAATATATCAATCTGCAAGAGAATGAAAACCTATGGTGAGCATCCTTTCACCTTTCCTCCCCATTTGGTGGCACTGAAAAGGCACCTGCTCTTTTCCCTAGTTTCTAACATGTGTGCCTAATTCCCTTAGGAAAGAAACGTGTGCACGCACAACTTCTCCCCTTTCCCTGCAGTCCGGAGTCAAGCAGGACGGGCACCCCAGGCAGGCGGAGTGGGGCTGCTGCAGGCACACTGCTGGGCTCCTGCGCAGCCGGCCGTTCGACCGGCCACCCTGCCCTGCCAGCTCCCAACTCCCAGGCATTTTTTGCTTAACGGAACAAGAAACAGCCGCTGCCAGCGAACGTTAGTTATGCGAAGTTTGCAAAATGGCTTTTTTGCCTCTTTAAACAGCTCACGAAGGCGGATGGCTGCCCACCTCTTCTATCTGTGTAGCTGCAAACGTCCACTATTTTCTGGCTGCAAGGTTATATACTCAGTGTCAAGTTTTAGCTTCATATTGAACTAAATGTTCAGGGTGTGTGGTGGGAAGTCAACCAGGTTACTGATACTGGATGCAGTAACCCAGACTTCAGCGACAGCAGAGAGGTGGAGGACTTCAGAGGACTGAATACGACCAACACCACTCAGTTCCCTGCACACTCAGTAAGCCCAGAAACTGGCAATCAATGACTGTGACCAAGGAGTAAGTATTAACTTCTCCAACCTTTTGATAAAAGAGTCATGTTCTGCTCTCAAGTCTTTCTTTTTCCCCTTTTGAAAGTAGAGAGAATATTTGTTTCCCTGCTTTGGGGCCATTTTGCTATATTTATTATGCTGCAGCAGGCTCCAAGAATTGCTTGTCCAGCTAAGGTGCCATTAATGAGCCTTCTACTCCATACTGCTATGGTGCCCAAAGCTTTCTTATGAATTGGTCATAGTACAGAACTGCTGGATAGAAGTATAATTGCAGTCTCTCAAAAAAATCTTTGATTCATGGAAATAAATAAGCGTGTGCAAAGCCCCCCACTGAGTCTCATTTAGTTTAATGATAGCCACTTACTTAAATGCTTTCCTGAATTGAAGCCAAAGAGTGAAGGTTGAGGGGTCAGATAGCATATGCACTTGAAATAAGAAAATATGAATCAAGATTTTGTTGAACACTGAATCCTAGAGCCTCTGTGGATGGCTCCCGTAAGAGAAGGATGTTATGAAGAAGCAAACTCATGAGAAGTTAAATGAAAATCTGGAGGGCTTATGGGATTAGCGGTAGGACACAGACCTTTTCAGGCCAGTGATTTTAGAATCCCTTTTAAAACTATAACAAAGCAAATGAAACCATGAGATGGGCTGTTTCATTAAGCTGTGTGAAATAAATACACTGATTTTAGATGATTTTTTAGCAGAAAGGTATTCACATCTGAAGAACCAACGATGTAATAGCATCACAGAAAAAAAGCTGCAATGGGATGAACATGAAAACTGACCTTTTTTAATATTAATATTACAGATCAAATATGAGACAAAGTTAATGGAATAGCTCACAAAACCTCATACTATTGCCCATCTGGTATCTGGTGTCATGAAATGAAATTTTCCAGGGTCATTATTAAAACACATTTCAAAGCATGAAATTCAGTTAAAATATGAGCAAACAAAAAGGCAAATCATTTAAGTTACAGTTTTTAAAGCCAAAGCTAGTTCGTTCTATTTGTATCTTCTTTAACCTACAAAATGTGATGATAAAAGAAAAACATTTAAATGGACAGTGTATCGCCTCTGCTTTTTAAAAAAAAAGTCTCTTTTCTCTCCTGGTTGAAAGTCATTTTCTCCGGAAGGAATACTTACAGCAGTTTGAAATCCATTTACAAGCAGGAAGTTCACAAATTTCATGACCTCCACCGCTGCATCCACCGAATAGGTTATAAAGACCTTGCCTAGGAGAGAGAGTCCATATGAATATGTGATGCATTAAAATACACCATTTGGAGGGTGAGACTTTCGCAGCCCTCCTTTTCCACCATGCTGCAGGTTCTGCTCACCTACATCTCTTCGGATTATTTACAAAATGGATGCTGGATGGTGCAGTGGCTTGGTGTTGAACTCAAACCCCGCACGGCTTTCCTCCAGACCTCACTGATCTGACTGAGAGCTGGAGGAACCCTCACGCACGCCGTACTGCCTCACCTTAGAGCAGCATTACCCTCCTGTGCAGGCAGGCAGGATGTCTGATGACAGCGATGTTCTCAGCTGTCCTTGCCATCGTGGAAGGAGTTTTCTTACTAACTAAAGAATCATGGGTTTGCAGGTCAGGGTGAGCCAGCTGGCTAATCTAATCCAGCTGTGCATGTATCACAAATGACACAGTTTTATCCAGTAATTCCTGTATCTAGGACACACTAACTGATAAAGTAGGGTCTAGCCAAGAGTGGTATCCGGTGCCATAACTTACTCCTACAGGCCAGAGAGATGCAAGTCTCTGGATTTGAAAGGTGATGTGCGAAATGAAGAATACAGGAAAAATCAAAATCTCAGAAGAGATGTGGAGGCTTCTTAGCAATGGTATATCTCACCTGCTACCCAGCACGGCATTAAGAAGGAAACCAGTTTTCTGAAACCCTACTTTCCCGTAAGAGTTGAAGGGTGAAAGCGTTTCAGGGGCTGGTGGCAGGGGAAGCACCTCAGCCAGCGCCTGTGCTGCCCTCAGCCCTCCGTGTGGGCTCCCGGCCCAAAGTCCTCTCCACTCACCAGGTCAGGGAGAAACTGAAGTTGAGACTCGACATATTTGTCTGGTTTGGGACAGGCAGAAACACTTTATCCCTAGGGCTTTGTTTGTTATTAGTCTTTTACTGTAAGCTTCAGTGCCTCTGCCTCAAAGGGACATCCTGTTTAGCAAGAAGTACCAAAGCAATCTAAACAGTGTTTATTTTTTGTAAACAAAATAACAAATAATTAATGACAATTATGTTTTCAGGATTCAAGGGGATAATTCCATCCCACTAAACACAAATGCTCACACCCTACAGATGTGATGACACTCAATATTTTCTTTTCTTGTTGTCTTTGTGTCTTAATGTTGTTCCCCCTGCCTTCTCCCCCCCTGGAGCTTTCCCACCTAAAGCTGTCAGGCTGCTTTGTAATATCTTGCACAGAACAAATTTGCTAACCACTTACGCAACTCCTCCGGCAAATTGCTGGTTCTCAGAGTTCCCTTGGCTGCAGGGTTACTGAGAGGTCTCGGGACGGCAGCTGGAGAGGGCAAATTGTCAGAAGGACAGCAGCATGCTTCATCTGGGCCGCATGCCTTGGGGGGCAGCTGACCATTAGGTAGCTGGTTGTATAGCTGGTTTCTACAAAAAAAGCAAGCGAACATTTAAAAAATATTTATTTTCAGGTAAAATTCAGATTTTTTCTTTCTTTTAATAACATGCCAAGAACTTTATCTGCATATTAGCTAGGAAAAGTTCTTGTAGAAATGCTTAGCTCGGCATTTCTACTTAGTTATCACAGCATCTTTTGAACAGATGATACCTTGGTGACAGTCTGCCACAAGAAGCAGTTTATTGCAGAAGCAGCATTAGCCACAGGAAGTAAATGCACCTCTTAGCTGAAAGCTGTTATGTTTGCAATTAGCAGAAGCAAAGGCTGTTTCTGAGTGAGAGATGTCATGGATGTTGTTACGCATGTATGGGAGCAGGGTGGCACTTGGGTAACCTCTTTCCATTATCTAAAGGGTGCTTCATCGCACCTCGGGTGCTCTCAGAATGTCCTGTGCAGCACAGGAGGCACAGCGCAAGATGGGGATTGGGAAAAATTGGGGTACAAGGGCACTCCACCTCCAGCTCTGGCACAGCTTGGAGCATCTCCACTTTTGGGCAAAACTCAAGAGTTTTGCTAAAAGGAACAAAGCTCATTTCTTGACCAGCAACAGGAGACACAATGAGGGTTTCTCATGTCAGGGATCTGTGCTCCAGACCTGCAATAACTTTGCCTAATGTCTTCTCCATTGTGACAAACAGAAAGGGATGATTTTAGGAAGCTTAGCAGTTCTTGTCCCACTACACTTTGGCTTCACAGTTTAAGTCAATAGGAAGGGAAATCTATAGAAATTTTTATGTGAGGTGTGCTTTGAAGCTGCTGGGTTGAATCGGTTGGACGAGTGTCAGGTTTCTCTGAGAGCTTTTCCCCACAGAGCAGTGATGTTTAGTCAATCAAGCCCACTCTCTTTTTTTTCTTTGCCTTCCTTAAATGAATGATGACAGGCTGGTCACAGCATGTTTTCTGTTGTCACATTAAGATTTGGTTTATTCATTTCGGTACAGATGTTTTCTGTTACAAAATACTCTATAGGCAAATATTACCAACATATAACTGCCGTTCCTGGAATCAGCATTCAAACACCAGCCACGCAGCCGCAGGACAGACCCCACATATTATGGATTTCTTTTAGCAGAAGAAAATACCAAGAAAAGCAACAAGTACCTCATAAACGGCCACAAAAATCTACCCTATGGCTAATTTACAGATCTTCCCAAAACTTCACCTTATCTAACGAATGCGCCAAAAATTAGGACTCTATTTTTAAATTTTACTACTCCAAAGGATACCCGCTATTCCTCAGTATTTTTACATTTTCAGACAAACTTTTCAGTGCAATTATCTCTACTGCAAGTACTGCCTTATCTTGCTGTCACTTTTCTGTCACAGCCCCTAACTTTTCGCAGGCCAGAGCAGTGTGGTATTTCAGCCATTTGTCCTCTTTTGTCCCACCTATTCACCCAGTTTTCTTCCAAGACCATGTCACGTAAGTGGACATTTTCGAACACAGATACCTGTAAGTTTAGCACCTCTAAAAGTACTGTGGCACTTAAATAAAAATGGTCTGATTTCAGATGTCCTCGATACCTGAAGCTTCAATTTGTCTTCAAGTAGCTGAGTCTGGAGAAAACCCTGCATGCATAGTATTTCCCATCTGTTAATGACATCCTTATAAGGAGGGAGATATAAAGCCTGGTAAGTTAATATTTGAAAACGAGTCAAAAAGCCCTGGATGAGAAGTGCTAGACAGGGTGGTTTATTACTACATGAAAAATCATAGAAAAGGCTGCAAACTGCAAGGTAGAGATGTATCAGCAATGGACGAGATTTCCTCCCTTTTTCTCTGCACTATGGAAGAGATAAGGAAATGACTGAAGCCAGTGATTGAGGCATCCCAGGCTGGTACAGCGTAAAGCTGAAGACTGCAGTGAGCCACCAAATTGACCTTTGCTCTCGAGCAGGAGAGCTCTAAGGTTTCAGCTAAGATATTTTTCAACCCCTCATCCCTTTAACCTTCAAGCGTTTATCTTCCTTAATGCATGCTTTTCAGGGTGCGCTGTAACAACATATCAGGTATCTGGCTTTGAAGTTCTCTAGGGTAAGGTCAGGCCCCTGTTGGGTGTAAAATAGCAAATAAAGAAAACTACCCAGCATCTCGCATGTACCCCTGCAGCCCGGGCACGCTAACATTACAAGGCTTCAGAATTATTGGTTGAAAGCCCACAAAATCAGATCAGAGGAGCTTCTACCGCGCACAACTCACCCCCCCGAGGCGTACTTACGGGAATCGAGGAGGACCAGGGGAGGAGCATGTCCTCTGGGGTGGTCGGTCTCCGGTGCCCTTGGGAGCACGAAGGTTTGAGTAATTTGGGATGACTTGCTGGGCTGGGTGGATAACTCTCATGCAAGGTCCAGGAACAGGAGGAAACGGTTGCGACGTGTGTGCAAAATGTTGGTAAGGAGCTCTGCCATCTGGGAGGGTGAGAAAATAAAGGCAGCAACTATCAGTTCAGCCAATACATTTTTGCCTCAGTTTGTGTTTAATCCTTTCCAGGCACGTCCTCCTTCATGTCTTGGGAAACTGAGCAGTTTGGAGGCATTTGCAGGTATCTTGGTCTAAAAGAACCCAGATTAAGGAACATTTTACAGCCTGAAGTTTCCTATTTCCCATTCATATATGGCATGGCTCAGATTCCTGCCCTGGGCTGGGCTGTTGGGACAACTGACAGTTAAACATTCAGGGCTGCTTTGTCCCTGCACTTACCATGCCTCAGTGTTTTTTGGTGGTTGGGTTTTTTTTTTTTTAATTTCTTTTTGGCAATAACTTGCGAAAATGAATCATCCCAACGTTCTCATGAAAGCAGATGCAAAATCCTGGAACAAATCAGTTTGCAACACTAAGGCTAAACAGACTGTGATTATTGTAAATGAAAAGAGAAAAAATAATCTCTTGGTTTGTTACTTCACCCTGTATGAATTTTCTGCCTAAGTGACCTTTTAAGGTCTTGCTGCTGCTCCTGTTGCTATCCAGGGGGCTGTAGGGGAAGACCAAAGTTACAGTTTTGCTTAAGTAATTCTGAAAAACCTTACTGTTGTTGGCCACACACACGTAATGCTGTTTAATAACTAACGTACGGTGGAACTGTTGGCATAAACTGAAAGAGAAAGCAATGTAAGCCGTTTGTTTCTCAAACGGAGAAAACTATTTTTCTTTTTTTTTCAGTCTTTCTGCTTGCAGTGTTCATTAGGCAGCAGCTCTGTGCACTTTCAAGCTGCTGTGCGCAGATCAAAGTCCAGCCTGGCAGGGCTTATTAGCGCTGCATGATTACGGTGTTATGAGCTGGCTCTGAAAGCTGCAGTACTCAAACACTCTTCCTTTCCCCCCCTGGACTGTTTTTTTTAAATCCTTTTAGCTATTTTGGGGTAGTGCTTTCATTTTCATAGTAGCCATGAGGACTAAAATTTTTTTTTAAAGGGGATGAAAAAAAAAGAAAGACGACAAAGCTTCAATGAAATAGTCCAATTCCAGGAGCCAATACTTTAAAAAAACCCAACTAACCCCAGAATTGCAAAGAGATTCCCGACGAATCTGTTGAGATTGTTTCAGGAGATTTTCCTGCTCCCTCTCTTAACTATTTGCAACAGGACAGGGTGAAAGAGGCTGGGAGAGCAAAATTGAAAGTAAATATGGTTCCTCATGACCAGCTCTAGGGAAGGTGTCTGGGCTTTTGGAGATTCAGTTTGGTTTACAGGTTTTTAGGCCAATGGTTCACCAGCTTCCTTTGGATCTATCTGATGCTACAGTATTTTAACGGATGCAACCACTGCCATTCAGAAGCACAGTATGGCCAGGCATGCATGCCTGCACACACCAACAGCTCCCATATATAAGTATCTGAAATAATGGTCCCTGGGCACGTAGCGTTGCTGCAAGGATTTCTTTGACTTCAGAAGCAGTTTTGCTGTTGTATCTCAAATAGCAGGTGTCCGGAGCCAGCTTAGAGCCTACGGGCACAATTGCTGTTCCCCAGGAGAGGCGTGTTGCAACACACAAACTGCAGAGCTTTGTTGTGGGTTGCCACTGCCCAACAATTATCTGAAACGCAAGGAGCTGTCAGGAGGTGATTTACGCTGTACCAGGCGTGTGAGAAACAGGAGTACAGTTGCCAGCTTCTTGGTCCTGACCAAATCTGCTCCAGCCATCTGAGTTTATTTTATTCTTTTTGCCCTCTGGATGTGGTTGAAACGGTAGTGATTTTTCTAAAGAAAGGCTTTCAGAGTTCCTGCTTTAAAACAAAATAGCCTCATTCAGTAAATGTCCTACTTCTCACGATGCCAGCGTGTGGAGGAGGTAAATGGAGGTAACTAGTGAGGGGTGTTGTGCAACCAGCTCTTTGTCTGCCTAAAGCTGAACGGAAAGGAGAAGGTATGAAAAGAAAACCAGAGGACATTTTGCAAATGTTCAGCTGTAGACATTGACGAAAGTCCATCTGTAGCCCCTTCCCCTTTACAAAGTCCCAAGATCAGAGGTGAAAACTGAGGCTCTGATACCCTCTCTCTTTCATATACCTAATTATAGCACATTGCTGGAATGACAAAACTCCTTAAACGGATGTAATATAAATGCTGTGGAGTCAACAGAAGGTTAAGAAAAAAAAAAAAAGGGTTATCGGAACAGGCCTACAGCTTTTTATTACAAAGCCAGCCCAAAACAGGTCGGGGTCTCATGAGTCTAATGTAATATAAATTATATTAAAACAATGATATTACTGTTGAATGTTCAAAGCTCACTTCATAACAGATAAAAATCTCAGAGACTGAAAAGGAATACTAATTAATAGCAGGCTGTAAACTGCGTCGTAGTCTCCAAGAGCCAAAACACCCATATTGACGGAGTCACATCAGCGTTCAGTGATACAATCACCAGCAGCTGAGAGGGCTCCATTTTAAGTAATGAGCTTTCATTTCAGCTGACAACAGAAAAAAATGAGGATGATGGATGTCACGCTCTTTTCACATAGAAATAAAACACATGGGTGAGTTTGGTCATAATGCTGGGAGATACTATTTACAGAGATCAAGGGTAACTGCCCATCCTGATTCTGGCAGGAAATTCTCAACTTTGGGGATCCAAGTGGGAGCAAGGAAATCTATGGAAACAACAGGAATTAAGTCGGTATAGGAGGCTGCTGAGTGACTGATGCAAGGAGGAAGGAAATGACTAGAATATGAAATAACAGCAGGGAGAAGGCTGTCTATGCTCAGCATGACCAACAAAGGCTAGTTTCTAGGCAAAATCATTAGCCTTCATTTGATGAGTAACTGTGACCTCTTTAACTTTTTATCTGGCTCAGAGGTTCTGCATCAGAGAGTCTGGCTGCATAACCCGAAAATCTGGAAATACAAAATGGACTGCAAATAGATGTTTAAAAAGGTTAATAATCGCATGCTGTGTATTGCCATTAAGTACAGCAGGAAAACACCACCTTGGTGAATGATGGCTGTGATACACCCAGAAAACCTCCCGTGGGGTGACCAGTGCTACTCACATGGGCCCTGGGGGTGCTGCTCTGCCGGGCAGCGGTGCCCAAAGCAGCCGTGGGCTTGCGAGGAGGCATTGGGATGGGGCAAGTGCTGGCACATAGGGCACTGCTGATGCTCAGGTCCGAAAAACTCTCTGGAGATCAGTGGTCCTGGGAGGTCCTGGGGGTTCAGCACAGACACCAGCGGTAAGGGGGGCTCCAGGTGCTTGATGCCCATGACGTCTCGTGACTGGGAGTTGTAGCCTGTGTCCACGGTCCCCAGCTCTGCTGGGGGTCTTTTTCCTGAGGGTTGCTGTGACCGTGAACTCCCTTGGCCGCTTTCCTCCAGTGAGTCCTTGGGAGCATCAGACAAGCTCTGCTCTGATTTACTGGAGTTGTGCCCGGTGTCAGCTGAAAGCTGTGATCTTGGCTGCATGCCTGGTTTGTCCATAGCTACAAGATGCATCTTGGAGGGAACTACTACAGCTATTGATTCACCGGGGGAACAGAAGTGTCCGTCTCCATCAGGATCAGTATATCTTGACCACAAGCTTCTGTCCGCCTCCACGGATGGTGCTGACTGATGACGTGCTGGTGCTCTGCAGAGGCATGATGGATCGGCCACAGGCTGAGACGTTTGAGCAACACACGGCCTCTGGGACTCCTCATCCTCCGTATCCTCTCCAGAAGGCTGCAAAGCCTTTTCCAAGACATGTTCTGGAAGTGGGGACCATGGCATGGATTCATCCACTTCAACTGGTATGCTTCGACCTACAAAAGTGCCTGAAAAAGTGGCAGAAGAAACACTGTAGATGGACAGCCATACAGACAAATGCCTGTTGTCAGTCATAACTCAATGACTGTGAGCTGGAATACTGAAGAGCAATGTGTATGCTTTATATTGTTTATATTTTTATGTTTTTTAAAAAGACAGGCAGGAAACAGCAAGAAAGGTCTGGCTGAATTTTGGCAAAGCAATAAAGCAGAGGGTTAGCTGGAGTGTGGCTAGCACAGAGTTATAATTTGGACTAACCTGACATAGAGGCCATTTCCAAGTTTTGTAGTTGCACTGGAAACGAGAGTCAGCTGCCTTACTGCAAGGCCAGGATTTTCCAGCAAACTGGAAAACAAGAGAAAGGGGTCTTGTGAACATGGTACAGTTTCACACAGGCAATAATCCTAAAATAACTCCAGCTCAGAGACTGGAAAAGACATACCGGTCAGAGTTCTGGAAATCGCATTGCGCAAAACAGACGCTTTTATGGGATTTCTGGAACTTACTGTTCCTGCTGAGACTGGAGGGGGGAAAAGCACATGAACTGTCTCTCAGAGGTAATTTCTGCACCTGGCAAAAGAGCAGGCTGCTTAGGTCTGGAGGTTTGGCTCAGGCATATTCCAGGGAACAAAATCACTTGCAATTATTTTACTCCGGACCTTCTAATAATAGCTTCACACCGATGCCTCGGATCTAAATTTCACCACACACCTAGCTGAGCAATTTCAACTCCAAATTGGTTTCCAAGTGTTGCTGCTTATTTTATCAAACCACTTCATCCAGCCTATTACCACATGGCTGTTGTTATTTCAAATTATTGAAAATTAAAAGACAATTTAGAGACATTAGTTACTGTTTGGATTTTTTTCCCCCTTCCTTTGGAATTGGCTTGGGCCCAAACATCAAAATTACCACTTCCTTTTGGGGGTGCTGTCAGCAAATTTGGTCCAGCCAAGCGATCCCTGATGATGGACGCCTCTGCTCCACCTTCACTTGGAATGACAGCAGCAGTGATGGGTGAATGCTGAGTGGGCTTCAGGAAGCGCAGCCATCTTCATCCTCTTATACAGGGGTGCCGATTGGCTTGCTCCCAGCAAATTTTATCTGTTACCGTGGAGTATAGAGAAACAAGCCCAGTGCTCATAATTTCCCCAGCTGTTTTCCTTCTATCACATTGGAGAAGCTAAAATCCCAAGCAGGAGAGTTATCGGAGAAGAATGGACTAAGCACTCAAGCAACAGGAATGACAACGTTTGGGAAGAGGATCTGGCTTGAAAGCCTGGTAAAGAAAGTCAAAACCACAACACGTTTGAGGAGCTTTTAGCTATCCAAGGATTTCTCCCAACTTCAGTCACAGTAGCTTGAACAGAAAGGTCAAATGAAGAACATATTCAAATGTCCACAGTATTAAAGACAGTTGAACAGGATCACAGAGAGGTATAAGGCAGTGTCCCAACCTTCACCCTGGCTCCCACAGCGATTCTGTGAAAGCAAATGATGTGCCCATGCTATAGGGCAAGTGTGAGGCTTTCCATTCATGCTGATCAGATCAAATGATATGTATTTCCCACTGAAAGTACCTCTGGCATAGAAAATTCTGGGTGTAACATTTGCTGGGAAGTAGGATAAAAACTGTGCTTTGCTGCTGGGCTGCAATGTAAATACTCCTCCTCAGTGTAACTTAAAACCCATCTATGCAGAAAATTTACCATATATTCATACATATCCTATGGTATAATAAGCACATCCACAGGGAGAGTTATCCTGGGATAATTACAGTGGGATAATTATGCTGGTAAATTTTCCCATGTAGGCAAGTCCTCAGAGCAGCTATTAGTTGCACCAACACAGTGAACATGCTGCTGCTCTGACAGCTGCAGCCCCCTGCGTGAGCGCGCCGGGTCTGGTGCCAAACCAGCTCCTTCCCATACAAGCACCCAGGCTTGAAATCCTGACGGTCAGCTCACCACCACCACACACGTCTCCCTGCAGTTGCATCGCTTTTCCTGTACGCCACGTCACTAACGCCGGCCCTGCTCGCTGAGTCATGGTTCTCTGACAGTCATAACCGATGCGATGGGAAAGGGAAAACCTCGAGCTCGCATAATCACAGAACCGTGACGGGGACTTGTGCTGTGCTGTCCTGTGCGGTGGTGGCAAAATGTCCCTTACCTGGGACCTTTGGTCAGATGGCAATTTAAATGATGACTGTCCTGTGGTGGTGACTCACCAGGACAGTACAGCGCAAAGTCAGATTTATGCAAATCAGGGTGTAAAGCTGCCGAGTGGTCCCCTGCCAGACTTAGAGAAGAGCCTGTGAAGGTTAGGTGTCAAACTCCCTGCAAGGCATCTGCCTTTCCCTCATCTCAACAGCTTTGTAAACCTGACCCTTGGATCATCTGGCCTCGAAGTGCCTGCTCAGACATGCTTTGACTTGTAGATATCTCTGTCCATTTGCTTGTAAGCTGAATGACATGCACTTGAGCAGCACAAATCATATTGCAAAATCTTATTTCCCTCCCCCCCCGCCCCAAGCATCTCCAGTGAACTGGTTCCTTGTGCAAAATTCACCCTGTTGTTCACAAAGCACAAGCTCAGCTGTGGGGTACTGGGGTACAGCTCCACCTCTTTAGCCACATGTGTTGTCTGAGCATCTCCCCTGTTAGATATAATGCCTAGCAAACACCCAAACATGGCTTTTCAGAAATAAATTTGCAATGCCTCATACACTGAGATGCTTCTTTGATGGTCTCTGAAGTAGTCAGATCAAATTGCTAGAATAGACTTTGAACTCAGATCCTCTGTATTCAACCACCTTTAGTTTAGCACCATGACAAGAAGAAGAGATTTCCGCAGAGAAACCGAGAACTCAGTCCAGAACTCAGTGAAGGAAATAGGAATCTCTTTATTGACTTCAGCAGGTTTTTGATTGGGTGTCAGATGGGATTTAAAAGTTACTGAATTCCTTTGGAGGCTACAACCTCCAAAGTTTTGGGTCTTTTTTTTTTTAGTTCCATTGCTAACATTTGGCTATCTGTGAAATGGATCACGCACAGACTGTGTGGACCTAATGAAAGGCACAATATGGGCAGAAAAAATTCAGGCTTGTTTTCTTCAGTTTGTTGTTTAGTGTATTTACTCTGTGTTTTGGAGGAGGAATATTAAGACTTTATTAAACTTTATTGCAAATGATCAGCTACCAAACTCTTCAAATGGCTTACTTCAGAATAGTTTAAAAATGCCTCTCCTATTGGTTTAGCCCTCTGAAAGGATAAATACCTCTTTATCTCTCAAATCAATTTAATATTTAAATGACAACCTTATTTCTTTCCTGTGTAACATGAGCTAAACATTATGAAAATGACTCCAAATATCTAAGTAAAAATAATTTGGTCAGACAGAAGAAAGACCTGATTCCATCACTTGTGTTTTTACCTGCAAAAGCTTCTAGTTTTTTAAAATATGATTTTGCTTAGACCCTGCTGCAGGATAGCTGAGCAGCGAAAGCTGAGCTTTGATACCCACGCACAGCCCCTGCTCCCGCAGGGCGGAGGTAGGAGGCACTGAGGGGCCGAGGGCTTTGGTGTTAAAACAGACACATCATTAAAAAGGAGAAAAAGTGACTTCATCCTCCTCCTCCCTCAGTAGCTCTGGTTGGAGAGAAAAGCTGTTAAAACAGCAGAGCTCTGTCTGTAGAGATGGCCCTGAGGATAAATTAACCCCAGGACGTGCTGAACACTTTTTTGAGCAATGCTGGCAATGGTATGTGGATGGGAATTCCCGAGAGAAATCCCCACGTTGCTGGAAATGTTACAGATGATTCAGAAACATCCTCCTCCAACAGCAGTGCTTCAAGACATTGTTTCTGCTCTGCTGAAGACCCTCAGCTTTTGGAAAAAGACCCAACGCTGAGCCCATTATCCCGGTATTTTATGTTGCCTTGTACCGCAGAGTTTCATTAGGCTTCCTTTGACTTTTCTAGTTAGCTTATCCTGCAAATATAGTTAGGACACAAAAATTACTTGCTTAGGTCTCCCGTGTTGAAGAATTAGGGTAAAGGAATGCTTCAGCATATTGAAATACCCTCAGAAACCTGTAGCCTGATCCCTTTTCTGGCATGGAAACCGCTGGAGAGCGTAGATCGTGCCCAATCTCATTTCCAAAGACACTGCAGCTTCAAGTCAGATCATGATATTGCCAGAAAGCTTCGAGAATTTAATATCCCCCCTGCACCTATGACTATGCAGGAGATTACTGATAACCAGCTGGAGCTGTTGCCTATATTCCTGCTTGTAATAAAGTGAAGAGGCCCTTCCTAAAAGACAGAGCAGCCAGGCCTGGACTGCTCTCAAAAATGTCGAGGGAGCTCCTTAACCCACCCTTTCTCCTTCTCTTCCTTCCTCTGCTCATACATCCAGTTCTGCAACATGCATTAATTCAGCAAATAACCTTTCCCGGGTGGGTGCTCAGTGACTCAAGTTCCTGGGAAGAAACCCCATCCCACCTCCCTTGCGAGGCTTCCCACACCTGGAGAGGTTCTCCTGCTGCTCCTGCCAAGGAGCCCGGAGGGAGGCTGCCCAGCCCTCCTGCTCACGGCTGGGCGCTGCTGGCGGTGGCTGCTCCCAGGAGGCTGCAGGGAGAGCCTAAATGAAGGGGAACAAATTCTTCTGCAGGTCGGTAGAGACGGGCCTGAGCGCCCGAGTTTGAAGCAAGGGCACAACTCCCCTAAAAAACATTCGACGGAGGCAAGGGGCTGCCCAGGGAGAGGAAGGGTGTTGGGCTCGGGCTCATCTGTGAGGTTTTCTTGCGGCTGATTGCAAAATCCGTCAGGTATTTCATCTGTTTCCCAGCTCGAAGACTTGTCAGGGTGCGCTGTCCCAAAACGCGCACTAACCATCTATCTGCTTTTGATTAGAAAACTTCTGTTGTGAAGAAACAGAAGAGAGACTCTGCAATGCGAGCATAGCTGTGGTCCCTGTCACTTCCGGAGAGGGGGAAAATATCTTTGCTCTTTTGATCAAAGTTATATTTGTCTACATTGTTAAAAAAGAAAATATTAGGATGAGAAAGAAACCTCACCTTCCTTGGTGCACAACACACAAGGGAAGGGTTTTTTTATTCACCAGTCATGGCATTTCTGAAGTGGCACGGGTATAGATTAAGGCAAAGCTGAGTTCACAAGGGGTGGGGATAGACAGGAATTTCTTGATTTCCAAATAATTCCTGTGTACTTTGGCTGAATCCTTTAAAATCCCTGGTGCTGCTGATATCCATCTGCAGGATGGGAGTAAACGGATGCAGAATTTGCAAGCTGCCGTGAGGGTGCACATGTTGCGATTACAACAAATGCTGTTGCCATGGGGTCAGATAAGCCTAAGCGTGTGAGTACACTTGCCTTCAGTGCAGCTTTCCCTACAGAAACACTAGAAAGAAACTTTCCTCAAAAAAACCCAGAGACAAATCCTTCTAGGAAGAGCAAGTGCAAATGTGGGAACTGTTTTGGGTCTATAACCTAAATAAACACAGCCAAGGAAATCCAAGCTCCAGAGTTTCACACTTCACCATGAAGAATTTTGGCTGCTGTCATCACAGGTGCTTAACCATCTCCCTTGGGTACCCTCCACAGCGAAGACTAAAGCAACGTGTCACATTCCTAGCCCAGATTTGAAGCCCTCTAGGGCAGGTAATGTTTATTTTTACAACTTCTGGAAAAAGTAGAAAAAGAATATGAAAACAATGTTCCTCTTCCACACTGACTATGTTGCTCTTTTACATATTTTCTGCAGCCATGGCATGAAGGTCTACATACGCTGGGAGAACAGGAGAACATACTTCCAACCCTCCCTGCATGGCAAATATCACGTTCCCTTTTGCAGCACTAATGTTGCTTCACTGGGCAATCCATGGTGCAATGGCTAGCATAGACCCGATATTTTTCACCTCTTTAGTGTAGACTTCGATATGCACATAATAGGAATGCTAGGCAATAAGTACTATGAAACATCTTCAGGAAGGATCCAAACAGGCATCTCACATATAGGCAGCATTCTCTGCTAGGTTTCTAATATTTGTGAAATATAAAAATGTCTGCAGTGATCTTAGGTATCCTTAAAAATGCGTTGGTTTTTCAGAGATTGTTTCCCACCTATTTCTGATGCTGATAAAACTCCCATAGGCACTGAATAACCCCCAAACTGGGATATCCCATGGCCCTGGGACGTCTAAAAATGCTGGCACAAAATTGGGGCTAGCTGAGTGGGGTTGGACAGAGGGACCACCCCGAGAGGTGTAAATCTCTCCAGTCTGCTTTCCTATAGCTTCATGCCTTATGAATAAGGCCCCTTATTAGGAACCAGTGGTTCCTAATAAGGGAGAACCTCCAGCATTTTGTGGGCTGATGTATCCCTCGTCCCTAACCGCTCTCCCTGCTCTGCAGTATGAGGGCTGCAGGGTGTGTGGGTGGTGGGAGGGCATGGGGAAGCCCGGGGGACCTGACACGTCTCCCTCGGCTGGTGTGAGAACAGCTTCGCTCACTTGCTTTCATGGAACGTGCAAAAATTTATATCTCTTTCAGACGTGTACCCTCTATCAAACTTCAAAAGTCACTGCTGGGGGTGGAGGACACAGACAGACACGAACGCCATAATTGCACATGCCTTCTTTTCTGCCTTAGAAAGACAAAAAGAAAACCCAACCCCATAAAAAAAAATAAAAAATACAGCATGCTTCAAGACATCGCTGGTGCTCAGCAAGAGCAAGCCCGGCCTCAGAAGCTGAAGGCATTGCAGGCAGCAGCACAATCATCAGACGCTTGCCAGCAGCCAGGGGCATTGGCGAGTGCTCGCTGGGGCACCGGCCCTGCGGCCAGCACCCCTCGCACCCCCGTCTTCGGCATCACCCGCTGCGGGGGTCATAGCCCCGTCCAGCGGTGATGGGGCATCGCCGCCCACCTGAGACGGCACAGATGCGGCCAGGCCAAGCCTTGAACAAGCCCGGGGCTTGCAGGAAATGGGAATTTATGGTCTGGTGGCCCGTGGTGGCGGTCGGGGACCAGTAAGCTCAGATCTGCCATTCTCGTTGCCCAGCCAACATTTGCCCTACAAAACCTGAGTCCTGGAACAATCAGTTACTGTGTGAAATGGGAGCGGGTTTTATATGGCTGATTTTACTCTAATTAAAAAGAAGTACTACCGGCTCGCTCCCACTGTTTCCATACCAACGCCATGGAGAATGGTGCAAACAGGGTCTATGATCCTGTTTTCTTCATGCTTTCCAGCCACCTCTCTCTCACCAGGTCCGTGGACCTGTCCTACACAGCCTTGAGCAGTGCTGCAGGGGCAGGAGAGGAGGGGAGGAGAGAGGGGAGAGAAGAGAAAAGGAGAGGAGAGGAGAGGAGAGGAGAGGGCCATTGGCCCACAAACCACCTTGAGGCTGCACAGCCGTGCAGGGCGGGAGCGGGAGCGGGCCTGGATGCCAGGCATTGCCAGGCAGCTACGTAAATAGGCAGGACAACATTTCGACACCAGGTGTATCCATTCCCAGTGTTTACCCCCAAACCCTCCTGATTTAAAAAAAAAAACCCACAACAAAACTGCAGTGAAATGGCTGAAACATGTTGCAACCATCTGTGAAACTCAGGCTATCGTTACACGAGAGGAGGGGGGGAAGGGAGCGAGACAACAATTTGAGGGAACACCCCCCCCCACTGAGAGCCAGAAGTGGGTCAACAGCTAATTACAAACGGGGCCCGAGAAAGGCAGCATCTCTGACACTTCTTACCTTGCGGGCGAGCGAGGCTTGCGCTGAGCTGACCGAGGAAAGCGAGAGGGCTGGCGTGCCTCCTGCGCAACCCGTCGCTCTCTTGGCGTGCCCGGGTCTCCTTCCTCGACCAGCCGGGTGGTTTTTTTTTTTTTCCTCCTCCTTTTACGACACTCTCCCTGCCTCTCCCAGGTAAGCGGCAGAACTGGCTCTGCAGCAGGAAGTGGAAGAGGCAGGCATGGCACGGCACGGCACGGCACAACGCGGCGGCGGTGGCGGTGGGAGAGCTTCCATGGGGGAGTGACACTTTGAAGCTTAAAACTCTCTCGAAATCCCTGCGTGTGGCTCACCCCCTCTCTCGTAGGAAGCCAGGCTGTCTCTGCGTGAGCCCTGCAGATAAATAACTGTAGGGGAAACCCGGTGTGATTCCTAAACAGTGTGCCTCGCCGGGAAAGTCATCTTTTGCTTTTTAGTCCTCAGTCGCTTACTGTCAATGACAAACGTTAAACCAACTGTGATTCAGACTACTGAAGACAATCACATGATGGGTGTAAGAACTATATAAAGAACAAAAATAGGATTTCTCGTCTGCTTTTTTCTTTTAGGTTAGACTTCTAGACACTTCCAAGTTTCTCTCTACACCCCCAAGGAGCAGAAACTCACTTTTCCTACAAGCTGAAACCCCTACGTATTCGCACAGCTCCTGAAAGCCCAGTAACGCCGGCGCTGATGGCACAGCGCAGTGGGGTTCGAAGAGCCCCGGTAAGCCACGCTGGCCGCTTCGTCGGCGCGGTGCCAGGCTCCACAGCGGTGGTCCCCGGCGTGCCTGCTGGACGCAGCTGCGCACCCCAGCCTACAACCGCTTTCCGTCCCCCCCCACCTCAGCGCGTTTCCCTGCCAAGAAGCTCTTCCTGATCTTTAGCCTACATTTTCTTACTTTAACCCTAGGAGGAGTCTGGCTTGGCTGCAAGTCGTGCGCAGCTCTTCATCCTCTAGGCGTCCGTGGGCTGCCACCACACGCTGCCTTAATGCCTGGTCGGCCAGCCTGCGTGCTCAGGGACGTCTAAACCACCCCGAGCTCCTCGCTCGGGCAGTGCCACCGCTTCTCCTTCCTGCGGGACTGGGGGCGGAGGAGGGAGCCGCCTGCCCGGCATTCCTCCCCCCCGAGGACAGGCCCTCTCCGGGTGCCCGCCGCTCCGCCAGCCCCTCTTTACGGTCACGAGTTGAAGCCGTGACCCAGGCACTGATTTCCTCTTGTCAGGGAATGACTGCCCGCGTTTCTGGAGGGAAAATTGAATCAGCTGGGAGCTGCGCGTGCCCCCAGCCGAGCGCTAAATCCGATTTTATCTGTGGCAGTGCGGTGTCGCCTCGCAGCCTGAGCTTGCCTTCCTCCTGGAGAAACCCCACGTCAGCCTGGCCCGGCCAGCAGGACGTCAACCTCCCTTTTGGGGCATCCCAGAGCTGTCCTTCGCTGCCCCCAGACCGCCCAGGCAACGCCTGCTCTGTCGGTGGGTCCCGGCCAGACCCAGACACGATGGCCGACCGACGCTTGTGGCTGCGTTACAACCGCGGCTGTTTGAGTCAGCTCAAGGCTTAATCCCTCCGGTTCGGACTGGAGCGCGGCAGCTCTGCTGCACAGCCATTTTGTGCCATGAACACCCCGAGAGCCGCCATTTTCGGCAGGGCTGCCTGAGCCCTGAGCCGTGCCAAATGGGGAAGGGTAGCGAGGGGCCCGAGGCCACGCAGGAGCCAAAATTGGGGCCTGGGTGACCATGGGCAGGACGGGAGCGGGGTGGGAGAGCTGCTCTGAGGAGCGCCTGACCTCCCCGGCGCTTACGTGAAGGACTTGCACAGTGTTTGTAGAGCATCAACCAGCTCCCCAGGGAGAGCGGGCAGCCATGGCTGGGCACGGGGACTTGGGCGGGCAGAGTGTCTCACAGGGACGTTGCATCAGTACCCCTACTTGCGGGGTTTGTTTCTAAAGGCGTCTGCTGTGCAGCCACCGAACGCCTCTCCCTTCCCTCAGTGGAGCGGCCTCCCTTGCTGACGACAGTTATGGACGGCATTCTTCCATTCTCCGCTGGTCGGACCTTGGCCGCCGGGCCGCAACGCACAGCAAACCACAGTGGCCACCTGTAGTCAGCTGCCAGCCGGCCAGAGGAGGGTGGCTGTGGCCGTGACCCTCACCAGCCTGTCCCAGCAGAGCTTGGCCAGGGTCCCTGTCTGGTGAGGTGCCCTGGGGCCGGCAGGCAGTTGGAGCATATGGGATGCGGCTGGACAGAGAAGTCGCGAAGAGCCTCAGGCTGTTCGCTTTCACACAGAATCACACACACACGATCACAGAACGGTTGAGGCTGGAAAGGAGCTCTGGAGGTCATCTGGTCCAACCCCCCTGCTCAAGCAGGGCCACCTAGAGACAGTTGCCCAGGACCACGTCCAGACAGCTTTTGAATATCTCCAAGGATGGAGACTCCACAAGCTCTCTGGGCAACCTGTGCCAGTGCCTAGTCACCCTCACAGCAAAAACATGTTTCCTGGTGTTCAGAAAGATCCTCCTGTGTTTCACTTTGTGCCCATTGCCTCTGGTCCTGTCACTGAGAAGAGCCCGGCTCCATCCTCTTTGCATCCTCCCTTCAGGTATTTGCATGCATTGATGAGATACCCCTGAGCCTTCTCTTCTCCAGGCTGAACAGTCCCAGCTCTCTCAGCCTTCCCTCATATGTCAGATTCTCTAGTCCTGTCATCATCTTTGTGGTCCTTCACTGGACTCTCTCCAGTAGCTCCATATATATTTTACTTGGCCACCTAGAAATGCCCCTGGGAATTAATGCTAGCTCACTCAGCATTCAGCTGCTGGGGTTATTTCTATCCTGACCACTCATACCTATCTTTACTTGAAGTGGTATCTGTGGGCCAAAGAAAGGAGCGCAGAGCAGCCTGGCTCTGAAGGATGCGATGCCCAGGGAACATGCTGTGACATATGACACTCGTGTGAGCACTTCCAGGTCCAGAAATCACACCTACGGACCTAATGGTGTCTGCAGCCATGGCCAAGGACCAGTCTCTGTCCCCTCTTTAACTTGCCAAACCTCAGAAACCAGCAGGTACTTGGGGCAGTTCCTCTCACTTGAGCTTTACATACTTTCTTAGCAGCCTGAGAAAGAGAAAAGAAAAGAAAAAAAATAAAGCTTCAAAGACACTCTCTGCTAACCACGTTAACAGCCCTGTCTGCTGGGTGGGTTTCAAAGCAAAGATGAGGTCCAGCCCAAACCTAAGTGCAGTCCCACAAAGTTGTAGAAACTGCTATCAATTAACTTGGTTTTGGATTAGAAAACTTAGAGAACAGATATCGAAGTTTATTTCACCATTTCAAGAGTCTCCCCTGTCCCCGAAACTGAGGCCATCCTAATTGCTTTCTGAAGGCCGTTTTATATTTCTGAAGTCTTCCTACTGACTTCACTGAAAGCCGGATCAAACTCTGAACTCTTTAAAGTTAGTATCTCATCTGTACTTTATTTACAAGCAGAATGTGATGTGTCATATTGGGCCCGTCTTAGAAAGTACAGATTAATATTCAAGTGCAGGATGAGTGTTTTCATTGGCAAGGCAACTAACATGGAGCTTTTTTATAACAAGTAGTTCGTAGTCCTTCAGGAGTTGTAATATTTCTTTTTTGATTAGGAAGATAATGTAAATATTGAGTGCTGCTTCTTGTATTTCCTACAGCATCTATATATTCAGAGAACTAAATCATAAATGCTTTTGCTTCCAAATGATTAACTGTTCAAATAAAGCACTGTCACGTTGCTCCAGTTTTAACATTGGTGCTGTGAATTAACCTGGAGACATCGTGATGAACATTTAATCCCATCTTCCTCAGCGTAACGCACATGACCCTCTCGCTCCAGTTCTCTGCATTCGGCTCGCCCCTCGCTGCTTTTGCACTGCCAGGGAAACTGGGGCTTTCTTCCATGTCTTGCTGTTTAGATTGCTAGGCACATGCCTACAAAAATATTTTCCACTTATTTTTTTTTAAGGCTCCTGCCTTGGCATTTTTCAGTCACATCCTGGAGAGACACCTGAAAGGAAAGAAAACAGTACCTGGATGTTAGCTTGTGCAATGCTTCTAATTAAACCTTGCATAATGACAAAAACCCTCCTGCCATTTGTTAAGGTTTTCCCCACAGCATTATGCATCCTCTTAATTAAGAGGAGAAGCTAAGTAATACCTGTTTTATTCCCTCTTGCTTCCAATTAGTCATCCATTGATCATTACCCACTCAACATTTGACAATTAACAGAGCCCCCACTCTCCCCAGGACTGGGATGTGTAGTCCTTCAGAAATGACATGTCTAGAATAACGTGAGGGGAGCTGTGTGGGCGAGTAATGGGACGAGAGGTAGGGGGAAGGGGAGGAGAAGGCCACCCAAGTGGAACAAAAGACGTGTAACATATGCAAATGTTCAGTATGCGGTATGTGTTTTATATGCCTGATGTATATGAGGTCATATACAAAGCTCAGCTGGCGGCTGCGCTGCTTTTGGGAGGCATGGGAATTTGAGGGAGCACTTGAGCTCTCGTATGATCAAATGTACCTAGTCCTCTGTCTTCAAGATGCAAAGCGGTTCCTGATTTGGCTCTTTGCCTCTGCTTTTTTTAGGAGAGCAGGAGTTAGCATCTGCTTCTCCGTTGTCACTGGGACCGTGGGCTGCATCAACATAGCCCCCCGCCAAGTCACCCCAAGACCCAGCTGCAGCCACACGGTCATTCCCGACCTGCTGCCGACAGCCAGGAGTGCGGCGGCTCCGGGAGCCAGAGAGGCATCCAGGGAAGCTGCAGGCCCCTTCTGCATCGTCACTCTCCTCCAGGAGCCCGGGCCAGCGGCAGTGCCAGGAGGGATGCGCTGGGACCACCACACCCCTTCCCCAACACCAGGGACCCTTCCTGTACCAGTAGCATCTTCTAGCTGGGGAAGACCAGCAGCGTAGTGGGGCTGGAAGGCAGCCCGGAGCCTGAACTGGAGCAGTGAATAAAGAGTAGGGGATGCCAGGGCTTTTGGGCAGGCCTCCGGCATGAGGTTGAGCCCCAGGGTCAGCGAGTAAGGCTACACCACAGTCAGAAAGCTTCCCTGCATCCTTTTGTCTTTTGTCTTTTTTCCAGATGAAAATCCATCCATTACAGGGCTCAGGGATTTTGTGTGAAGCTGCAACAATAAGTAGCTGAGCAAACTTCACAAGACTCGGGGTGCGGGGGCTCGACAACAAATGCTGATGCACAAAAAAGCAAACCGGGGCCCTCGGCAAGCTCTAGCCCGGCTGTAGAAGAAGGAGGATAATCTCATTTCTTTGCTCTTTGCCCTTTTTGCTATTCACAGAGCTTAATGCCGAGTTATTCCCAACAATGAGCAGAACAATCAAACTTCCATCTGGCCTGGTCAGGCAAATGCAACACTTGCCCCTCCAGTCACAGGCACGCCAGTCCTGCGATTTTTTTTCCCCATCTTGAACATATACTATTTACCCCAACTCTGTAACAGAGAAGATATTTATACTTGGTAACAGAAGCTGCAGTTCATGCTCACCAGCCTGCTCTAATCTGATCACCTAAATCCCTGGGCACAGCGAAACACGGGTGCTGCGAGCACAGCTGGTGCTGCAACCTTTGGCTCTCCCTCTACACGACATGATGCACAGCCTACCAGCTAATGACCTGTTTTTCCTGGGAGGGCACTTTTCTCCCTTTTTGGCCCTCCTGCATACTCACCACAGGCCCCAAACTGCAGCCATACCCTTGGGAGAAACGTTTTCTCTCCCTGACTTTGAAATCAGGTGCAGGTTGCTCTTTGCGGTAGCCAGAGACCCACAGGATCACCAGGCTGCAGCAGCAGTGCTTGCTGCTACCACCCCACCGCTGGCCTGGGAATAAGGATTATAACTGATCACATAGCCGGGGGGGGAAAAAAAGAAAAAGAAAAAGAAAAAGAGAAGCTCTTTGTTGTTAACACCATCCTGTCCTCTAATCTACTCATGTCCCGGTCTTACATTTTTGTTAAGCATTCACCTGCAGGGGAGGAATACAAGGAGATGGGTTGGTGGTTGTGTAGGTATAGATGTTTTTGTGTGCGAATTGCATTTTGACATATAGATATATACACATACACACAAAAGCACTGGCTGTATTAAAAGTTGACAGAAAATATCTTACAGACTTAAGTGAAGCTAGCATTTCCCCTCTTACATTCAAAATGAACCTCAGTAACCTGGTTTTAGCTGTCAGAAGATCTCCTGACAAATTTAGAAACGCTGAGAGGGAGAGACTAACACCCTGCACTGGTGGCATCCTGGCAAGGGGCCTCTTTCCCTTTCCTGCTGAAAGGACACGCGTTCTGGTTTGGTCTGTGCAGGAAAACCTGAAATTGAAGTGTCCCCTTCTTTAGTAAAGATGGCAGGGAATGCTGCCCCAATTGACAGGAGCCCCTTCAGCGATAAAATTTCCCTGCATGTGAGTCACAGGAAATTATAATCACTGCTTACTGAGATTGCAGAACACAATGAAATTTCTGAGCTACAAACAGACTTCAATTATTCTTGAAAGACAGACAGACCCTCAGACTGACACGATTGGAGAAAATAAATATCCTTTTGTCTGCACTGCTGGTGGTAATTTCCCATTAGACAGGAAAAGACTTCTTTGATGAATGAATATTGTCTACACATTAGAAGAGGAGCTACTGTATATCTCCTAATAGCTCTTGCATGCTTGGGCTCAGCCTCATGTGAGGCCCTTAAACCCCTTGGGTACAATGTGGTAGCATTCATTAGTGTACTGCATTTTTTATTGCAGCATTTGAGAAAAGGATGGTGCATATTAAAATAAATTTAAGCAGCTTCCCACTCACCTTGAAGTTATGTGGCAAGGTCAAATACATTTAGCAATCTGCCTTCTTGGTCTGCAGGTAGTCCTTTCCAGTCAAGAGGCTTCAGGAGAAACACTCGCACTGGGGACAGATTTTCCATTTGTGATTACTCTTGTAATTTTAGCAGTTAATCACTTTTCTATTTTGTATTTACTTTGCTTTTCTACAGTGGTAATTAAATCAAACCCAGAGTGTCACATACAACTAAGGCGAGCACTGTTTGCAGAAGCCAAATAACATCATGTTAGTGCCTTTGTCAAACTTTGGACCTTTTCAAAGACCCACCAAGTCTCATGTAATTTCCTTCCCACAGAAATATGTTAACAGGCATTAATTGTACTCACTGCCCCTTTCATAGCAGTGTTGCATTTCCACCTGTCATTTTTCCTGGGACTGGTATTGGATTAAGCTTGGCCTAGAGATGCCTGGTTCACCCCACGGAGTCCGTTCAGCTGCTGGTAGGTCACCTTTTTTGGAACTTCTCCGCCACACCATGGATTGGTTGGGAGTCAGGTGGGCTGGTGGGGAGAGCATTTGGCCAACAGTTTTTATCTGGATAGGATTTATTTAGCCTTACATTAAAAAAAATTATTGGAGGGAACAGGAGATTCTTAATCTCATAATTCTACTTTTACAGTCACCACACCGCTATTTGTGGTGTATACACAGTGCTTAGGAAAAGTTTTTTATTAATTTATAGCAAAAATGCTAACAACCTTGTTTAAATTTTTGCTAATGTTTTTATTTGAGAGATTAAAAAACCCAAACAACAAAACTCCCAACATTAAGAAAAAGAAGCAGAAGAGCTACCGATGAGAAATGGTCTGGATTTGCCACTCAACAGTGGCACCAGTCTGCACACAAGCCAGCTGCAGGCAGAGATGCAGCAGAGACCAACATGGTACTCGTAGACCGAATGCGATACAAGAAACAGCAAACCCAAGAATCAGAAATAAAGGCCATAAAACCCCAACAATGCCCCATCTGAGTCTTACTTCCAACGAGAAACATAGGCAAAACTAATGTTTTAGGCTCATCCCGCATTACAGATGGAAACTGCGCTTAAAAGTTTGTGGCATAGCAAAGGCTGCTAAGGAATTTGGCAGAATGGCCATGCTTTGCCACCGAGCACTGGGCTGAGTACGTGACGTTTTGGCTTCGCCAGCCCGCTGAGTTACTACAGAGTCCTCAGTTCAGTGGATGACGTTTTAAGGCAGGGGGGTAGCTGTGGGAAAAAAGAGGACCACCACTTGCTTTGTAAGTACTAAGAGGAAGCTAAAAGTCCAACAAGAATTATGGCCTCTTCAGTACTCCACAGCTACAGGTACAGCAACATAGAATATATCATGTACATAACATTACTTATAGACTCTACATGTAAAACGTTAACCAATTTATCATGGAAATCTGGTAACAAGCAACATTGCCATATAAATTCACACTTCGAGAAAGGCTAAGTGTGGAAGTCTCCTTTGCAAGAGGATTTTCAGTCAATGTTTTGTATAGAAAATATTAAAATGATGACAATTTGTTCTCTGAATCTCAATTCATTATTGGATTAGTTTTCAGGAATGGAAAAAGGTTCTCTTTAGAAAATGTGTGAATATTCGGAATATGAATTCACAATCTAAGTATTAAATAATTAAAAAAAAGTTTCAACTGTCAGGAAGTCTTACTTGGCTGCAATATTTTAAAGCAATAACAGCAATACAAGGCATAGAAAATCTTTTCCTACAACACTTGTAAATGTAAAAGTATTCACGTTAAATGCAACAGAACTACTAAAGAATAAAACACTTGTAGAACAGAGCAATGAGAGACTAGCTATGCATTCAACCATCTTCCTTACAGTTGAACTCCAGCTGTTTAAAAACATATTGACTTCATAATTTGCAAAATGATGTCCTATAGGTAACTGATCTGCATAATCCTATGAAATATGATGCCCCAAATGGCATGACACCCCTTCTTGATAAGTTTTTATCTCATCTTCACCATTATCTCCACAGTTTAAACAAAAGAACAACTATCCAAATGTAAAATGCTCTTTTTTTTAATTACTAAATTAAGAAAGTTAAACAGTTTTAAAATGTAAACTTGCAAATAAACCATAACAAAATGTAATTAAGACTTCAAAATTTGCAACTCAGTATTAAAAACTCAATAGAAATAGAAAGGAATTTTTTTTTTTTTGGTTAAACGTAAGTAATTCAAGGCTGGTACAGACAACTGAAAAGGTAATACTTTGTTCTGTGCATCCCCCATGAAATGTAAAGAAGTGCATAGTAATTCCACTGGAGAACTTGCAGACATAGAGAAAGTAATTTCATTAGCAGTACAGGACATTTAACACACTTATTTTACAATGGAAAAATGTTACACATAAAACAGAAAAATCCTAGTTGCATGACCAACAGTTTAGCAGGTGGACATGGCTAAAATGCTATGATTTTAAGACCATCTGAATGTGGTTACACTGTTTAATAAATCTTTTTGAAACATTTCAGTATACATGTTTTGATACAAGAAGTCCTTGCAGTTTCAATTTTCCAGTTCAAACGGTGATGGTGTAGTTTTCTTGCTTTAAATATGTTCATTTTAGTTTCAAGAACAAATCATCACACACTTGTCAAACATTGGAAACATTACTGTAAATACAGCACATGATTCCTGAAAGAGCAAAGTTACAACCATCTACAGGTACATAATCATAAACAAAAAGTGCAATCCAATTTAAAAAAATCATGCTTGGCAAAAGCCAAAAATTAGATCACTGGTTTTCAGAATCCTACCAGTGTTTTCATGTCTGCAGTAAAATTATCGCTTTCTGGGTACTGCTGCAGTAGGATTCATTCAATTCCAAATGAGTTTCCTCTGCAATAGCACCCATATACTGTATGTACAGGTATGTATATATATTATATATATTTTATATATAAAAAAGCAAAAAACCAAACACCTGTCCTGATTTTTTTATTTTTTTGTTAAAACATGAAAAAAAATGTTTTAGACAAAGAGGCCACTTCTGGAAAATAATACTTTTAGTTGAATCAGGAGAAGACTAGTTAAAATCACATAGGTTTTGCGTTTTAAAAAAAGGAAAGCACTAGGATCAGTTATTGGCACTGAGTTACTATTTACAATGAACAGAGGTTTTGCAGTTTACATAACATCAATACAATGCAGTTTTGGAGTCTTTGATTAAGAAAAAACAAGTGTTTTTCTCCTTTTCATCCAGGACATTCAGATTATTAGGACAAGTGGTCATAGGCAAGGGCTGCGGAAGTTCCCAGCTTCAGCCCCTCCTGTGCACGGCGGTGCTGGGAGATGCTGCACTCTGGAGAAGCCGATCACGGAGTTGTAAGCTGAAGGGCAGGTGGGGCAGGGCTGAGAAACACCTGGTAATTCATGACAGTGTCTGGAGACCAGGGATTTACAGGTTGTCACCAGGCTGGTACTGGGGTTCTGTTGCAGTGAAGTAGTCTTCAAGGAAACCCTGCAAATATTCGAAAGTTGGACGCTCCTCTGGGTCTTTTTTCCAGCAGTGGATCATAAGCTCGTGCAAGGAGATGGGACAGTCCTGAGGACATGGCATCCGATAACCACGTTCTACTTGCTCCAAGACTTCACGGTTATTCATGCCTGTAAAGGGCAGAAAAATCCACACTGTTAAATTACAGGAAAATTAACCCGAGTATAACTATATCTACAATACATATGGTGTTCTTGATCAGGTTCAGACAAGCAAAACAAAACCACCCCAATGTCCTGTTTCAGCTCTTCATCTATGGCAAGGTAACCTGGCTTATTTTCTTTCTCAGTAGAGGGGTTTAGGATCCAGTGATGAGTAAAACACTGCTCCCATGGTTACCCTCTTGGCTTACAATGGGCAGGATTTGGCGCTTTCCCTCTCCAACAACAGTAGCTGTGAAATATATTATGTTTAGTGGTTAAGGAGGGTAAATGCATTACAACAAATACTATTCAAAATTCTAGAAATTAAGATTAATTGTTGAAACGCTCACACTGAGCATGGTCCTTTCTTGAAGTGCTCTGTGAGGTCATGCTGCAGAGAATTCAAGACAAACTGCTACTTTGGGCTACCGGGGAAGTCCAGCAGCATTACCTTCAATGTCGGTTCAGAAGCTTACTGCTGCTGCTGATCTGTACTCCTCCGATCTGTGCTGGTTAGCGCTGGTTAGTATTGTTTCTACCATATCCCACTATTCCATCCCAACCCAGAACAGAACCAAGTCGCTCAGAAGACAAGCCAAATGCCAAGCAAAACAGTTCCACTGCAGAACCATAGCTCTCTCTCAAAAAAGGCGAAAAGTTATACTACCATCGTGCTTGTCTCTAAGAGGCAAGCCAGGCCCTTCGCTACCTTGTTTTTTCTATGCAACTCCTTCAGTCTTTGATTCCTCTGCTGAAGTGCTTTTCACCATACATTAACTGCAGTCAACTTCAACTTTAGTTTAAATATCTCTTCCAGTAATTCCTTTGGCTTTTTAACAGTACCAAAGGTAAGACTGGCACCACAGGCATGCAGAAATATTTCAGAGAAAGTGTGCACACTGACTGCAAGCTTTGTGGCTTGCCACTTGGCAAGCTGTGTCCCAGTCCTCTGCTGAAAACTACCTGCAGGCTTCACTCCTCTGACTTGGTGGGTCCTGCCAAGCAGCTCTGCAGGAGAACTAGTAGGGACAATTATGTTCCTCCATGAGCAAATCTAGAAATAAGCCCCTGATGGTGCTCCTTCCGTTAGCTTCTCCTCCTGCTGGCTTCCATGACACCATCCTTCCCTGGGTCTCCTCCACTCTGTTCCTTCAGGGCATCCTCTTGAAGAATTCTCTTGTCCCACCTTCAGGACCCTTATGGGTCTCTACCTCATATTTTTGGTAAACTTATTTGTGAGAAATAATTCAACCACCTTCTTCAATACAGATTCATTTGTCTACTCTATACCTTGACTAGTGGGAATAATATCCTTACACTGCACAGCATTTAGGCTGGTAACTTAGGTGTATCCTTGTATTTGGTCTTTACTCCGTATCCTCATGTCCTGTGTTTAATTCTTAAAGATGTTTTGAAAGAAGGATCTGCAAAATACAGCCTTTCCTGACCATCCACATGTAGATTCTCATCTCATGTTAGGATTACAAAACACCTTTTCCTCTTATCTCGGCAGGGTAATTTCCTCCTGCTGATAGCCATTTGCAGTGTCTCTGTAAGGATCATTTTCCTAGCCTGTTACTGTAACCACCCCTTGCACGGTCTTGCCACTTGCTCCTTCTTGCTTACTATGTAAAATACCAGCTGCTTGTCTTCACTTTCAAAGCCTCTCACAGGCTGCCCCACTAGCATTTAGGCTCTCATTTGGCCATGTCCTGGTCGATTCACAGTTCTGGTTAGCTTACTGCAGCACCTTCGATTTCCAAACAAGCACTGATGTGCTGTACCTTATGCTGCCTGATGCGCATGGAGGAACCTCCCCAGAAAAACTGCCTCATTCTCCTACAAACCTCTCCTTACTGTTCCCTTTAGCAGTGGTAATAGCAAAAAGAGAGGTTAGATTACTGATTTACAGTATTTCCTAACCTGCAGACCAACACTTTAGCACTGGTTTCTTGTGTTTGATTTATCACCTGCATTCATCCACTGTATTTTTGGTGTTAGATGTTTATGAGTAGGAGCAAACACCTTGTATGGCACCTAAAGTGGCTTGTGGTTAGGGCTCCACAGAATGATGAAAATATAAAGTAATAATGGTCCTCTGCAGACATCAGATTCTGCATAGAGTTAAGGTTCTCCTGTATTACTGACTCCAGACTGATGATGTTAGTTCACACAGGCTCACAACTGAACAAACGTTTGGGTGTTCCTCATTACCCAACAACAACATTTTCAAACATATTTTACTTTTTTATTACATTATAAAACAACACTAGTGGTCTGTTAGTCATCACCAGCCCAAAGGCAGCATCAACCCAAACATTCTGGCCTTGTTATTTTCAAGATGCTACAAGAAAAAAACGGGCATTTTGCTCACGTTGTGTTCTTAATATTAGTTTTTTTAATCTGTGTTTTGAACAAAATCTGCACCCTTTTTTTATATCCTTGTCTTTGAATCAGCTGAATTACCTCACGTTTTGGGGTAAGAACTTCTGCCATGCTTTGCTCCCCTTACATATTAAAGGCTATGAAAATAAGTGTTACCAGCAACTCCTCTATTGTATATATCTAAACACCCCCCCCCCCCCCCCATTCTTTGTTTTTTTTTTGGCAGTACCCCTTTAAGTACAACACGGGTGGAAGCAACAGCAGCAGAAAAGCTCCTTCCCAACTGATTTGTTATTCTAAGATATCAAATGTTTGGTATTTTTATCCAGTGCATTACTCAGTGCTGCAAAGCACACTCTGAAACTTGATAACGAACTGTATGCTGGAAGAAAAACCCTGAGGAGAGAGAGGGGGGAGGAAAAACATAAACAGCTCTTCACTTCCCCTTTTTTAAAAAAAAAAGACAGAAAAAGGAACATAAAAGAGACACTGCTGACTGAAATCATAGTCATTTTTTGTCCCTGGAAAGTCAGTCAAGCCAGGTTTTCTCATCATGGTATAATCCAGGAAAATGCCCTTCTTTTCCTTTCTCCTTTCCCCTCCCTCCCAGTAAAAACCAGGTATGAAACTAAACCAAGTAATCCTCATGTTCCTTACTGGAATTCATACATCCAGCAAGGGCTGAAGCACCTAGGATTTGCCAAAGATATTCTGTCAGTTTTGACGTGTGCTGCTGATTTAAAAAGGGAGTTTCAAATACATTTTTTTCAAAATCAATTGGATTATTAGTCAGACATAAAAATAGCAGTGTTTCAGATATACTTTTTACCTCTTAAAAGGCCTATTTATGTTTACAAACCTATTATCTAGGTTCGCTTATCTTATCCTACAAGCTTTAGTGTTTCTCTTTTGATAGCAGAAGACTGTTGTATCTGCACTTCTAACACCACAGAGAGAATATTTGAGCAGTCTGTACATCTCCTCTCTCCTAATGAATACCCGAGAGTTTCAACTCTTTTAGTAAATAATAAATGAAATTCTGTCTGCAGTATGCTTCTAGACCCCTTAAAAGTTTATCCTAAAATCCTTAAATCTGTGGAATAAAATACTCAGCAATATTCTTCTGTAGACTATTTCACCTCCTTGAAAAATCAGTTTGTGCTCATGATGTTTCTAGAATTACCATTTGGACCAAGAAGGAAACATCCAATTTCCAAAAGATGGCTTTTCCATTAGCTTTTTATTCCCTGAGAAGACTGAAAATGAAATAACCTCCCACCATCCAGCTTTATTAGTGAAACTTCCAATAATCTTAGGTTGCCACAGGATATGGCCACTTTAATGCTCAGTACAATAAAAAAAATCTACTGCCCACATGGACTGGGAGCAGAAACGCCATTCTGCTTGACTTTTCCTAGAAAAGCTGCAGTAGTAAGAGTTACTGTGACATAAAAGAGGATGTAAAGTTTCCAGTTGTGGCTAAAGAAAACACTGGAAAATGCTTTGGAGTGCTCTGAGGAGCTTGTTTAGATGGAGCACAGCGGATGTACAAACAGCACAGATCTGGGCAATGCTGCTCTTCCAGAAGACAGGAAACATTACTGTAACTAGGCAGCATCCTCACATCCAAAGCTAATATGCTATACAGATTACTTCGGGCAATGTGAAGTCCAGTGAGGACAGTGATGGTTTTAAGCCACTTTATTCTTGTTTTCTTCTGTTGGACTGAGAATTACTCTCCTTCAAGACCTACTGCATGCTTTCAGACCAAAGATCAAACTAATACAGACACAAAAGCTTAAAGTAGGACTCTTAAAACAACAGCTCAACTGCTGTCCATCCCCAGAAATGCTCTATTTCAGATTCTCTAAGAATCCAGATCTGTGCTTCTGCTCATGTTCAAAGATTCCTCAGATGTGGACATGTTGGCCCTTCTCTAGTACAGTTGAGAAGGTAAAACTGTGTAGTCCTCCAGAGGGGCTGGATCATGTTGGCACTCAGAGCATGCTCTCAGAAGAGAGAGGTACAAAGGAGACAGGTTGATTTGGGGGTTTTGTTCAGTTTGATCTAGAAGCAGAATTTCTAATGTCCATGGACAGCCCCAAAGAAAAGCCAGAGGTGAGGGCACAGGGATGGGGTATGGGACTTAGGCAGGGAGATTATTCCATACGCAGGCACGATAGTGCACTGATGGGAACAGGAAAACTGCTCCTAAAGGAAGACAACATTTGAAGCATAATGCTGTTCTTACTGAGTGCAATATGAACTTAGTTATTTCTGTGCAAAAGTAGTAATAAGTTTTAAAAATCTGGAAGTCATGCCACTTCATTGAGAAATTAAGGCCTGAAAACCCCCAACAACTCCTCATCCTCAAAACACCCACAAAGCTAGGCTATCAGTATCTGTTGGGTTTTTTTTTGTTGTTAGTTTTTGTTTTGTTTTTTAAAATAAGTTTTTATTTGCTTGGTATAAGAGGTGTAACTTTGAGCTACAGCATTTGTGAGTGGAGCTTTCCTGCTTATAAAGAAACCCACCCGAGTTTATCTGTGCTATGCGCTGAGTACGCATCTCTCTCAACTCTGTATCTACCATCCACGATGCCGGTACACACACACACATGCCGGCTCACTGATGTGTACTCGGCCCCAGGCTCGGGCACTGTACCATGTGCTTTCTGGCACTTGTGGCCCAGCTTCCCCCAGGGATGAGAAGTCTGAACACAGCTCCCCAGGGATTGCAGAGCTGCCTGGAGCCCAAACTCAAAGACCTGCCTGGCTGGAGGCAACAGTGTGGATAGCATCATGGTGGCTGTCACGCTAGACATAAAATGTAAATGCTCTTGATGTGACAAGTGCAGCAGAAAGAAGGGGCAAGTTCAGAGGTGCTTGTTTAGTGCAGCTGAAATTTTTGCCTAACCAAAAGGCAATATGTTAAAAATCCCCAAATTCTCTGACTGCTGCTAGGGAAATGCAGCCTCCTACTCTTAAACTCCGTTAAAAAAAAACCCAAACCAAAACAAAACTAAGATCCAAGGGGAATCTGTGAAAGGGGAAAGAAACAGACACTGAAAAAGGTTGACTAAGCAGACTATTTCTTAAACTTGGCTCCTCTTCTGCCCATATCTAGTTTTTATTTCCCCACTGTAGTAGTGGAAATAGAAACTCAATGCCCAGAAAGACTGTGAAAGTTGCTTATTTTAATCTGCTGCCTTGCGAAAAGAAAGGGAGAGCATTAGGAAAGGCTGGGAAATGCACTAATAAATTAGTTACCATAGCGGTCCATTACATCCATTGACAGGGAAGCAGGCTTGGTTGAAGGATGAAGATGAGGACACCTGTCAAAAAGTCAGTCTTGCTTGTGGGAGCTATAGGGTCTGGGGCAAGGCTTGGTTATGAACTCTAGTCTGATCTTCATCTCTGCCAGCAAAATTTTTACTGCTCACATGTCCCGCCACTGCTCCAGCCTCTCTTCCAAAATGGGGCATCAGGACAGGAACTGGTTGAAATCTGAGGGACAATAAATGCCAAATCCCGTTCCACACAGTCTGTTCCTCTTGTATATACTGCCTGCCTTCTCCTGTCCTCCTCCTTGTGCTTCTCCCTCCTTCTGTGCAAGCTTAAAACAGTGCCTGGTTCTCCAAGGCATGAGGTACGGTGCCCTGCAGGCATGGTTACCACCACAGGACTGGGGCTTGTGCTATAAATAACCTCTCCAGGCAATAAGATCTTGTCAAGCAAGAGAGCAATCTCTTTGTCTGAGGGCCTCTCCCAGCTCCCCCCAGCCTGCTACAAGCTGTAAGCAGGAACATCAGGACAACATGACCACAACTATTTCAGAAACTGGGTATTACAGCAGAGTGACAGCTCCATGACCCTCTGTTTCCAGGCTAACCCTTTCCAGAGCTTGCAAATCCACATGCCTTGGGTGCCAAAGTGGTCGGCAGTGCCTACAAACTGCATTCTCTCACCTGTAAGTTGTCTACTTGGATGAGGAGGGCTGAGTCTTGCCTCTCACGGTGGTTGAACTCCATCTTTTCCTCCTTGCACAAGCCATGCCATGATGGCAGGAAAAGCCCTGTGGGTGCATCTGAACCCCACTCCCTGCCCCAGACAGGGACTTGAACTCATGAAGCTTTACCCTCGCGGGAGGTCCTTCCTCTCCCCAGCATGAAGCAGGAGATGGATGATCCTTTCTATGTCAGGGGAAAATAGTCTTTTCTCAGGAGCTCAGGAGGTCTTTGTCACCTTGGGAAGCCCGAGCCCTCTTTTCTACCCACGTGCAAAGACAGACCCATCTGAGAAGGTCCCGGTTCCCCTCCGCTGTTGCCTCAGCCTGTCAAAGCTTTCCCAGTTAGGGCCTGGGGGATGAGACCGAACTGAAATCTCTAAAGACTTTGGCAATTCAAATTCAAAATAGAGGCTGCCCTTAGGTAAAACTGACAGAGAGGGTGGTGATGGTGACCGAGCAGGGCGGCAGTGCCGGTGGGGAGGAAGGGCCGCGGCGTACAGCTCGGGCAGTGCGTGACCCCGGACAGCGCGTGACCATCCAGAAAACTGCTGACTCTGTGATATGTAACGCACAAAAAGTTGCTTCCAGCTACCTGATGTCTTCCTAGCGCCGGTGGGGGAGCGTGAGCTGGAAGGACTTTCAGCGTGTGAGGGCTTTATGTAGCGAGGGATGAAGGGGGAGGACAGCGCTGAAAGAGGAGAGACGCCGCTAGTTGTCTTTGATATGCTCAGACTGCCACGTAATAAAACTGTCCACATTTTCAGGACACAGACCATGCCTGAGATTTCTGTCATGGGTCCTACAAGAAGTTATATATTGCAAGCACTTAAACGCACACCCAGTGGCCTCCTTCTCCTTCAGGGAGGGAGAGGAACACTTGGGAAGTGCAGACATCTGCTGCCGCCGTGGCCAACACTGTTGTCAGTTACAAACTTGTGAGTTAACACACGGCTTAGATGGTCACTTTTGCCCAGAATAGTATTTTTCCTCTGCATGTGTGTGTGTGTGCTCATGCACATGATAAGAGAGAAGGCTAGTCACGAAGCATCTCTGCCCCACCACTGTGGAGCTCAGGGAAGAAAATTCACCTTAACTCTGCCCTGGCTGGTGAAAGCCCCTGCGCACCCACTCTGCTGGTAGCGACTAGGAATTTCCTCTTCCTGCAGCCCAGCGAGGAGCCATGTCCACCCTCTGGTAGCAACACCGTATCAGCTAAGCCTTACATATCTTCTTTCTGTCTTCGACCTTTGCACACCACGCCATGTCTGCATTTAACCCTCTGTAAACTCGCGGAAATCACAGCTCTCCCACACCACTACTAGTAACCCTCATGGCAAGAAGACCTTTGTGCCAGCTACTGACACAGCCACTCCGTGTGGTGGCAACACCCGCTTTTCTTTAACCGCATGGGGAAGTGCTGGGCAGAGGGACTCATCCATCCTCCAGAAACATGACATCTTGCTTTCTGCTACCTCATTCTGTTGTCACAGTCACAGCTTTGCTAAGCTGCTCCCTGTTAATCATGCCAAAATTCACTGCTGATCACAAGAAGCCCTCCAGTCCCCATATTCTCTTCCCAAATATCAGCTACTGGCTGCTAGGTACTAGCAAAGTTGAAATCCTTGGTAAAACTCTGGGAGCTTAGTTTTGCTGAGTTCAGCCTTCTGAAGTGGCGTGGCATACCACAGCATAAACTGAACTCCACCTTGATGCTTCTCCTGTGCAATTTGATGTATGGATCTGACTGCTTGATCACGGCACAGATTGGAAAATTGAAACTGCTTTAGGGCACTTTCCATTAAATCAGCTGCAGTGCAGACAGCCATACCAGTGAGTATTTAGAGAATTTTTTTTTATAAAAAGAATAAAGATGCAGCTAGATGCCCTGTTGTTAGTATCTGTGCTGACAAGAAAATGAAGTGATTAAATTCTTTTCCATGCAATGCACTGCTTTTACCTCACCCCTTTCCTCTTCACCTGAATGCCTACAATCTTCAGGGGGGGCAATAGAATGAAAAGCTCTTTCTGCATAGGCAGATCCAATCACCCCTCCTACAAATCTTAATCCATCGGATACTTGGCAGGGTTTCAACAAAGAGCCATGGGGCCTCCAGTTCCCCCATGCAGAGAATCTGGCCCCGCTGTGACCCTGCCATGAGCTCTGGCCTGCACATAACGGAATTATTTTCTTTCCTTTCCATTCATCTCGAAAGCAAGGATTGAAATTTAAGAGTTTATAAAAAAGAGATTTGGTAATACCAGACATTCAGGCAGTTATCAAACCTTGCAGAGAACCAGACTGACAGAATAAATGGAGTAACGCCACTCTGGGATTTCAACTGTTGGTATCTTAAAGTGAATGTAATACTATGGAGAGCTATTTGCTCCACAGTATAGTAATTTTACATTGCTTTATTATTTCGCTAGAAAGTATATTAACTGGATTGAGAACAATTAAAAAAATTAGAAATTAATATGTTGTATTTTCTGTCCTCTTGTCATTTTTATCATGACCATCACACAGCAGCCTTCAGAGTCAGGACCGTTTTCAAGCATACACAGAACTTATGCATGATAACCATCCTCCTTTGAGCCCAGTGAAAATAAATAAACATTCCAATTTAAGCATATGGCTCATTCCCACTCCTTTCCCCACGTGAAGCAGGGCTCAGACTGTTTTCTTACCTGGGTATGGCACTCTCCCTTTCGTTACCAGCTCTGTCAGTAGGATCCCAAAAGACCACACATCTGACTTTATTGTGAACCTTCCATACAATGCAGCTTCTGGCGCAGTCCATTTAATGGGAAACTTTGCACCTAATGAAAGAATAAATAAGTCTTAATCAGAATAGAGGCAGAATCAAAGTACTAGTTCACAGGTGACTGTTGTGTTTTGCAACACATGCAGGTGGACAGAACTGCAGGGAAGTTTTAACAAACAGCTCCATGGAGTACAGTCAGAGAGGACAGGCGGGTGGAACATGTAGGGCAGAAGTAAAGACTTAGCAGGGAAGGCATGGCTTTGTCCCACATCCCAAGAGAAGGCTAAGACATTTTAATCCAGGTTTGAAGTTTTTTATTAAAAAAAAAAAAGTTTTAAAAACCAATAAGCCCAATATAATGGAAATTCTTTCTCCTAAAATGTTTTAAATTAACATTTCCCTGTGATATTTGCAAGTCAAACACAGTTAGCACATATGAATAGAAGTGAGATTTATTGGAAGTGTACCTCCCAGTTTCCCTGCTCAAGCTGAGCAAAATGCAAAACAAACATGGTAAAAACGTAAATTAAAAACAAACCTAATATTTCATTAGAAACATGCAAGGACTTAAAAATAATACTGCCATTCAAGTTGCTTGGAGTACAATGATGTCAAGGCAGAACTTTGGCCTGTGATTTATAACTTGACAGTGTACTTTAAGCTCCTGGCACTGAAAAGCCTGTAGTGCCTTAAATACGTGCAGTTCTAATATGCTCATCCATCATCAGAGCTTGCAGGAGCCAGTTGTGGTAAGGATGGTAAGATAACAAGCCTTTAAACACTGATTTATTTGCTTTTCCAATCATTTACTGTTTTCTTAGGGAAAATATTTTCAGTATGACTTTAAAGAAAAGTCTTGTGGTAATAATTAACTCATAGTATGTATGAAAAAATATGCAGACTTTTCCCTGGTGCCTTGTGTTAACACACAGGCAAGAGTTGCATTGCTTATTGCTGATCCCTAGTGACAAACACTCTTGAATTTGGAAACTGACTTTGACTTCTCACCATCCTCTCATAAAAGTTCCCTTAGCTTTCAGGAGGAGTGTGGAAAGTGTAACAACGTGGACAAATCACTCTTAGGGAGTGAAGTTATGGCACTGTTTACAGTTCCCTGCCGGCGCTGTTCTGCCATCACATCCAGTACTTGAAGCCCAGTATCTTCTGCTACATGCCACAGTCTGACTTGACTCAGAGTACAAAGTAAACATGGTAATTCTCATCTCCTTACTTAGTAAAACATCAGGTGTGCTAAAATTTTTCCTGCTCTACAAGTAAGTGATCCTAAGAGAGAATACTACTCAGAAACAAATATATTTTTCTAGCGAAAAGTGTAGTTGCTCAAGTAAGTCCCGCTAAATTAAAAGACGCAAGACAAAGTTTCAAATCCCTAATGCCTGAAGTCAGGAACTGAAGTCGAGTTAAGCATCAACACATCAGTGGTTAGATTTGCAAAGGTGCTGGAGGATTTTTGGTTGTCTATTCACTTTCAAAAAAGTCTGTCTCTTTTGTATTTTCATTAGCTGATATGCAGGGAGGAGCTAAAATTTGGGTGCTCGGCTTTGGTCTCAATCTCCCTAACTTCCGCTTCTTCAGGGGACCAATCCTAGTTTACGAGACTCAAAATTTACAGAACTTCATCTTCTATTAAAAACCGCCTTGGCTGTGATGTCTGAGATCTTTGCAGCAGCAGCCTGCCGTCACCTGAGCCTCTGTTCTGGAAGCTGACCCTGCTTCAGCAGGGCCAGCAGCCATGTAGGGTTGGCCAACGGCTCTCCCAGCCACCGGCAGATCCTGGGGCTATACATCCCTTGCTGATCCCTGGAAAAACCGCAGGCTGCATAGATCTGGTGGTCTGGTTCCCTAGGCCTACAGTGCAGGGCTTTAGATGGGCTTATGTAGGCATGCCATGAATATGAGGGCTAATGTCCCTCTGCTTTCTCATACATGAGGCTGAGAGAGTACACACACACACCATGCCAGCTGAATGAGTAGCTCCACGCTGGCCAGCAGCCTGAAGGCTTGGACGTTGACTGGTGGTGTGTGAGATAGCCAAGCATGAGGGTTCGTGTGGTAGACACATTTTATTCAACAAATTTTATTTTTCTCTTTAATCAGCTGTGTTTTTCTGAGAAGCTGAGCCAAACCTGGTCTAATTCCCTTGTGCTTCGTACTCAGATCCAAAGGTAGCAACCCCATACAACTCATCTTTGGAGGAAAGAGATCTCTTCAGACTCCTTTGTGGCCAACTCCCCCGGTATTTTTGCCTTCCTCATCTACTGCTGGGGCAGTGGGAGATGAGTATGTGGTGTGCCAAGGGACCATGGGAAGATGAGAAGCAAGGTAGGTAGGTGAGAAGGGGGGACAATTCCAGCACATCCCTTTTCCTGAGAGCTAGAGCAGTACAAACCCCATTGGACTGTGAAGAGCACTGCTGGAGAAGACAAATGGTCTGTGCCGTGGATTTTCTGAGGACAGGATAGCTACTCATTACGTTTCTATGTTGCCTCTGCTGTGGGTGGTTCTCTGGCTAAAACAACTACTACAAAAATCACGTTCTGCGTTTTGTGCAGTATTTCCTGAACTTTGGTTTGAAGTGGTGGATGGGGAGGAGGCAAAGGCAATGTTGGCAGAGAGGTCGCTAGCAGAACCCTGCCTCATGGTTTTCTGGCCCTGCAATGCATGCTGGAGGCTAGATGGCCCAAGAGAGCCTGCAACCCAGTATGGCAGAGCCATCACGAAGGGGAGAGCAGAGACCAGTGAGGTTGTACCAGGCTGGCCACCTGCACAGCTGCAGGTACAACGCATGCACTGCCGTAACACAAAGAGATCACACACAGCTTGTGTGAATGGGCTCTGTGTGTGTGTGTCTAGCAGGGATCACCCCAAGGTGCTGCCTCCCATAGAATGTCTGGCACGGGCAGTAGCGCACTTCTGTGAAAGCACAAAAATCCCCAAATGTGTTGAGCACCGCTCCGAAGCCTCCCGATTGCTACCGCTATACAAAATGTTCGCAGCACGGGCCAGACGCTGTGCATGGCTCCTGACCGACAGTCTCCACGCTTACTCTCTTCCCAACACACGGAATAACTCCCCGCCCCCCGCCCAGGCCTCAGCAGCTTATTAAACAAGCTGACTTTGTGCTGCAAACAAATTACAGCACCAGATCATCTGATAAAATGCGTATTACTGACAAGCATGTTAATAAATCTGATAAGCCAAATTACCCCAGCTAACAAGGCAGCCTATCTCCTACTTTGAAGGCAGATTTTACATCAGTGGGGGGGATTTATCTTTTTTTTTGCTGGAACCCTTTTTATTACCAACTATCAGGGCAGTAACGCCATGCGTACAAACCAACCGCGCACCACATTCATTAGGTCAGGATAGCCTGTCTTTGTCCCAAAGCAAGGTACTAATCTGCAGCTTTTATCTCTGTCCCTTTTTTGAAACATTTCAGCCTGGGGAAAGCCTTTTTTGGGTTTCTGTGCTGCTCGCAACCACATCAAGCCAAAGCTGCTCGTAAAATTTACTGTTAGGGCAGCCGGTCCTGCCTCCTACCTCTGAGGATTTTTGCGAGGCTCGGCCCTGTTCTTGGGCCCTCTGCCCAGGCATTCACACAGGTTATCTCCCAGGAGGATTTCTGTGGGAAAAATCAATCCTGGCCCTGCTTTAATTCTTCGTCGGCTATAAGCAGGACACGTGATGAGAAGGAGCGGAGAGGGCTGGGATAATTGAGTGACCTTAACGTACAACTCTCAGCATGGTTTCTTCTGAGGGGAGTGAAAATCCCTCAGAGCTTTGTTTTTTTCAGATCTAAATCTCGATGAAGCAGAAACCTCTGAAATTCATGCCCTGGAGCCACTGCCAGCTTTATAATGATCCTGTTTCCAGAAATGCTACAAAGCTGCTACCTCTCGTACCTTAAAACCAAACCCAACGCAGCACCCCAAGGTCTAAGACCCCCAAACCAGGGGAACTCTTGGGTTAGCGACCAGAGAACGTACTGCAGCACCGAATTGCTCTTGGGGCTGGAAAGGGAAAGCTGCAAAAGGTAAAAACGAAGTGCTGAAGCAAGCAAGTAACAGGAAACGAGTCAGCCCTGGTAGGCGATGATGAGTGCCGTGTGGGAGGGACTGCGCAATTACATTTTCTGTGCTGTGAGAACGAACATGAAACTACAAGCCTGGCGAAACATCAGCGATCACAAGCAGGCTCCGCAGGCTGACCTCTCCCCGGGAAGCGGGGGACGAGGGGCGGAACCGTGGGTCTAAACACCCCTCTCACCCTCTGCCTGTACCCCCCCTTCCCCTCGCCCTTCCTCTTGACCTGGCCGCGCTCCTCCTCGCACAACAGATGGCATCTCTGTAGGAGCGTATCGGTGATCCCCCTGCGGGACCCTGGGGGGTGGCTGTTGGGAAGCAAGAGTCCTTCCTCCTTGTCCGCTCCACGGCTGGCCAAGGGAAGGGCAGGTAAAGAGCAAGAACAAAGCCCTGGATGTTCCAGCCCACAGTAGAGTCAGTTGCGAACAAGAGAGATTAGCTGGTGAGCTGGGAGCCAAGTCTCTACAAAAGGACTGGGGAGAGCCTGGAAGAGGGAAAAAATCCCCACTCATTTCTAGGAAATCAAAATAAGAAGCATCACTTGTTTTTAAGCGGGGCAGGAAGGAGATATTTCTAAGTGTCGAGGAGGCAAAAATGATCTGAGAGTTTACAAACACGTACTAGAGCTCCTAAAATAGCTCTGACTTGTCTGGAAGGCATCAGAAAGATCCTTATTGTTTCATGTGTGCTTGGAGCAGCACTGCTGCAAGTGCTGCCAGTGTATGCAGTAGAAACATGGCCTGGAAAATAACTCTGCTCTTTTTTTTTTATTAAGGCAATTTTAAATTTGTATCAGCTGCTACTGCTTAGAATAGTAACAACTCTTCCCCAGCAACTCTGTGGAGCACTCAGCACTCTCCACAAAAATGCCATGTGCTTGGCCAAAACTCTGCATAGCTGTGAACCGGATCAGTGTAAGGGTAGCAGAACTGCATGGGAAATCCTGTGTTGGAGGTGATGGGAAGTTTCTCTGTGTCCTCTAGGATACCAGGAGTTTTAAGTCTTGCCTTACAGGACTGACACAAGCACTGCCACCGATGGAAGGAAAAAAGACTGAATGCCTGACACTGTTGGGGCGGAGGGGGGGGAAGATGTTGCAACAGCAACAGCCAAAAGAAGGAAGCGCCAATGGTGCAGGCTGCAACACAGTCCACCAATGTAGCCTTTAAAATGGGCGTCACTTTAACAGGCATGTTTTTCCCCTTTGATTACTCACTTCCTTTAAAAGCAAGAGGAGCCAAATGCTCATTACAAGCCAAGAACTTTTTTTTGTATTATTTAATGGCAGTGTATAACTGCTAGTCACACACTTTAAATCATTAGTGGCATGACCATCTCTTTCCTTCCTGAAGATTGCTGAGAAATGGCAGTGCAGACAACGAACCGCTTTTTATTTACCTCTCATAAATCAGAAGCAGTCAGGCCTCCTTTGTTCAAACCAAAAAGAAAATAAACCGATCAGTAAAACGTTACCACCAGGCTGAGTAATACCCATACAGGTTCAGGAATCCTGCACTCTAGCCCGCTGGGGCTCAAAGCATCCCCATCTGTTTCCTTTCAAAATATTTAATCGGAGACAAAAGTGACAGTGGGGGAAGGGAGTAGCAGATCAAGAGAGGCTGGAGAAAACCACCTCTTCCCCACGCCGACAGTGAGCTCTGTACTAACATGCTTAAGCCAAGAGAAGGATGACTGCTGAGGAGAGAGTGACCAGAGGCTTTAATCTTCAGATTTTGTAAGGCAAAACATTTCCTTTCTCCCACAGGAGCTGCCAGTCTGGAGCGCTCCTCATCTCCCTCCCCTCTGCTGGCCAGGCTCTCCTCCCGTGTCAAAATTCCCACCGAAGCAGTAGTCAGCTAGATAAACAGAGCAGTCCCCAGATGCATCCCCTTGGAGGCTGAAGTAATAGGTCATGGGAAACAAGCAGAGGCAACCATTTCCTTCTGATACTGTGGTCTCCACCAAGCAATGCTCAAACTGAAGTCTAACTAAACAAACCAGGACCGAATCCCACTTGAAGAAAAATTCCAGTGGTGCATTAGACACCATGTTTCTTCCTCAATAAATTAAAGGTCCTAGGCTCACCCTGGCTGCCCAGCTGGCTTAGAAGCCAGGTTAATTGCAATGAAATGTAAATTTAGAGCGCGCTGCTTGGTCAAAAATGTACCCCTCCCTAGAACAAGCTACCACTTAAGAAAGGGTCAAAAAACCACTAGTGAAAGTAGGAAAACTTTTCTACAAGATACCTGTGATTTCAGCTCTTTGGGTCTCTCTTTTAAGGAATTCTGTAGCTCTGAAGGACTTAAGCCTGACCCTGAGGTCAGGGGAAGGAAGTATTTTCCATTGCCCTTAAGTATGGGAAGGATTGGTGACTTCTCTATACTTGCACCATGAGATGAAGCCAGGCAAACATGATTCAGATCGCCAGATCATCAGTGATGCAGGTTAAAAGCCAAACTACTCCCTTCCCAGCTACTTTTCCCACAATGCAAGTGATTTCTGCCATGGAAGAAGGGCAAGAGACACTGACGACTATGCTCCCTCGCCCTGCCAGTCCCAGCATTATGCTTTTCTCAGCTCAGATTCCCCCCCCGCCAAATCCAATAATTTTTATTGTCTTTAAAAGTCTAATCTTCTCCTCAACACCAGTCAGGCAGGTTTTCACGGCTTTCTAACATGTGAAGAGGACAAAACTATTCTGAGAGATTTAAAGCAGGAAGCAAACAGGTCATCAGAGGATTTCCTAGGGATCAGGAGCCTGAAGTGATCTGGCCAGAAGTAGGTCACATACTTGTCTATTAAACCAAATAATTAGTCATGTCAAACTATATGTTGGGTGGTTTCCAAAGGGAACAAAAGACATGGCAGTAAACCAGACAGAAACAGAGATAATATAAGACACTTTTTCAAAGCCATTTTGCAGACTGGATCTGGCTGCCTTGCTCAAGGAAAACTCTACTCATTTTACACAGGGGAAGTGCAAGCAGGCAGCTTTCTGTCTACCAGAGCCTGCGGAGACTCTTCTTACTCTGGAGAGAATGACACGAGGCTATTTTTTCTAGCAAGGAGCAATTCCCACCCTCGGGCAGAAATGAATAGTGCATTAGGACCTACCACGGGTTCTTCAAGCCCCCCCCACCGCCCCGATATTCAGGCCTCACTGTCTGAATGTGAAGCAGGCAACTTTTATGGTAGATGCAGTCTGTGGTCCATGTCCTTGCGACTAGGTACTGCTGACAGCAGTTCAGAGGGGTGTGAACGGTATGAGAGCTGCTGCTCCCAGGCCAAGACAAGGCATGCTGGAAACTCTCTGGGTCCTTCTGTCAACACTTGAAAGTTACAGAAAGACGTTAGCTCTTTCCTAAGAATTAATGGCAAAATCCATGCTGAAACAGGGACTTCTGGTCAAGAGAAAAAACTCACAACACGAAGGGGTAAATGCAGGTTATGAAGTACTTAACCAACCTGTGCTTTCTGATGACATACAACAGGGTTTAACGGGACACTCCTTGGCTTTGGCACTGAAATGGACGGAGTGGTATTTACCGACACATATTGAGCAAGCACTACCAATGTACTGCCAACAGAAAGAGAACAAAACTGTAGCTCTGCAAACTTGGACCAACATCTGACAACTAAGCATGACTTGTAAAGAATGACTAACTACAAAGAGCCTGTGTCATGGCTCAGTCTGAACACACACATGCTTTTTAAAAAAACTACAATACTCTTTGATACATTTTTATAGTGTATCAGTGGTCAGCTGTGCCCAGCACTCTGTGTGGCACTGGAAAATGGCTTTCCTATTAAAGTAACTTTTTAAGTTCCCAAAGAAAACACAGTGCTCAGAGAGACAGCTCCATTGCACAGAGACACAATTCTTTGACCCGTTTGAAATAAAGAAAATAAGAATAGCACAGCAATGTTGATAGCGGTTAGTAAATACTAGAAGGCACACTATGAAAGAAATAGCTTACAGAGGCTTTTTTGGATTACCCCATTCAGGCTTTCAAGGCTGGTAAGTAAAGTATCCTCTTTGTTATGGCACCATAAAGATATTGCCTTTACTGTCACTTCACCCACCTGTACTCTCACTCACCATTTTTGTTTCCTTTTGATCAGTTTTTAAAGGGAAAACAACTAAATAAGTTGGGTTTTTTGAGACATGCATTCAGCAGTGAAGTTCTGGGCTAGGAGTTAATGTAAGTTCAGGATTTACTGAAAGTAACCCCAAAGCATATAAGAGCGAGCTTTTTAAAGCCATGTTCCACTCTTTCCCTCCCACAAGAATCACACTCAGTGCTACACCTGCTGCTGTACCTACCTTGTCTGGCTGTATATTCATTGTCTTCAATCAGTCTTGCCAATCCGAAGTCGGCAATCTTGCATATTAGGCCATTCCCCACCAGAATGTTTGCAGACCGCAGATCTCTGTGTATGTAATTCATTCGCTCAATGTACGCCATTCCTGCAGCCACCTGCGAGAAGCATGAAACACAATCAGTGCATTTTAAAATGAACTCAGACATACACGGGCTATAAAACATATACACCTAAGTGCTCAATACTCTGAAGACAGACCTGGGCTGCCATGTCCACCAAATTCGGTAACTTCAGAGCTCTTCCTTCTCCATCTTTTAAGAAATCTAGCAAACTCCCTGCAAATGCAAAGTTGACACAATAGAGATATTAGGAAAACAATGGCTATTCATCAGGATGGAGGTGCAGCAATAAGTGCAATATTAAAGACAGCAATGTTTCAAGTTCTAGTGGACCCTTTAAAAACCCCCCCACAATATCTTAGAATTCTCCTATTATACTTGTTTCACTCTTCTTTAAGGTTGGCTTGCAGAAGAATATGTCGCTAGTCCAAAGAGAGTTGCAAGGGAAAGAAACAACATTGTTTTAAATTTTCCTGACCATTACTGAGAAAGCTGATCTTTCTTAACTTTCCCAGTGCTCTTTGAAACTACATACCTGCTGCTCTCTAAAGGCCTCAGCTAGCTGCAAAGTATCAGCTCGGTTCCAAGCCACACAAACTATGGAAAAAGTCAGATCCCAGCTCAACCTCCTCCAAAAGAAAGGTCAGCCTGGAGCCTGGTAAGCCCAAAGGGGCTAGCATTAACAAAGGCTAACTTTCCTTAGAAATTAGTAGTGCTTCTTCTCTAGGTAACCCATGACTAAATGTAGCACGAACCACTAATTTTAGAAGACCACTATGCAAAACTAGAGAAGACAAAGCAGAGATCAAATGAAAGCAATTTTAGCAAAAGCAATAAGGACATAGCTCCCCTATGCAATTGAAAGCATGGAGGTTTCCTGTAGCTTTTAAAAAAAGCCTGCGATGCTATAGCTCCCTTCCCAATCTTGTATTCAAACAGAGAAGTGTGGCAGTCTCCTTTAAATAAGGTCAGTGAATTGTTTTAATAAATAAGGGGAAAAGACAGATGATGAGGCGTTTCTCCCTTGATAAATTGTCAGCCTCAAGCTCAGATCCAAAGATGTAAAATGTTACAGTAAAAACTAGTATAGTAAGCCAAAATAAACCACATACTTCAGAAGGACTTTGAGAAGTCTTTTTTTTAAAGGGGAAAAAGCACATGCTTGTCACCAAGACATATGATTAAAGTGTGAGTTAGTCAGGGCTTGGATGCCTCTGAGAAGGGAGGTGGGCAGGCACCTGCCAGGAAAATAAAAATCAACTCCAAATAGACTGAAAAAATGCACTTAAAATTTCAGAGTGTATCCTCCAATGTACAATGAAACTTCCCTGTGAGAACTTATGTTTCCTATTTGGTTCATTTGCTTTTCCAAAACAAGCAGATTTTTTGCTCTGCTCTCAGCACCCCTGCTGGAGATCTGACAGAGCGAAAAGTTTTCCTTTTCTCATTTTACTACATCGTTACCAGTTAAGTAGCTTAAAGAAAAAGAGAAGGGGAAGGGAAGCGGAAAGAGGAAGGAAAGAATCATATGTGCAAATAATGTATTAAAATGATAAATGGGGTGGACTGAAAATTAAGGTGTGATCTGAGAGTGAGGTACATGTGACAGAACTCAGAATTGCTAAAAGAAGAAACAGAAATCTTAGGCCGACAAGTGAACACTGAAAGAAGATGCCATATGAACTCTCTGGCCCCAGGAAAAGCTAGGATCTTAGGAAGCAGCATGTAATATCATTCAAACCTAGAAAATGCAAATCTCCACTTGTAAGGAAAGTTCAGATGCTGATGCAGTTGGAAGCACTTAGGTTGCCCCAACTCCTCCCTCCCCCACCTGGTGCAAATTTTATTTGTACGTCTAGTGGATTTCAGGTTTTGGGCCCAGTTCAGAGTTGAATTCATAATTCTTCTGAAGCCAGAGGTGAATTTAGCTTCCTGTTCCCTCTCCCCTTCCTCACACACTGTTCATACATCACACTGCACCTCCCTCTATATCCCCAAGGAGCGTCAACAAAGAAAAAACATTGTTATCAAGGGCAGCAGCTCTGGCTTCACCTTTGCTCATGTACTCCGTGACAATATAGATAGGTTCTTCAGATACCACAGCATAAAGTTGGACCAATTTGTCATGTTTTAGCTTCTTCATGATTTGGGCTTCCTCTAAGAAGGATTCTGGAGACATAGTGCCAGGCTTCAGGGTCTTGATAGCCACTTTAGTATTTCCGTTCCACGTACCTACAAGCACAGATACTCTAGTTAGATTAAACCTCTTCCGCTCCTTTTTCTGCCTGATGCCTAGTGTAACCAAGGAATAAACTAGCAAGGACACTTAATATAATAATTTTTTTAAAGTGTGGTTTCCCATGTTGCCTTATCATTATATTCCTCCCACGCCTCCCTCATATTTAGTCTATTATACTGAAAAATAATACTCCCATTGGCACTGGGGCACAATCGTCGTTGTCCTACTCAGACAATGCTTCCACTGATATTCACAGAAACCTCCTCTGAGTAAGAAACGTGGGACTGCTGAAACCCATCTTCATGTATTCCCTTGCTAACAAGTAATTGCTACAGACAACACAGCTCCAGTTACAGATTTGGATAACAAAACTGGTTAAATGCAGAACTTTCCATTTGCAGGACATTTTAACATTTTGTTTTTGTTCTGAGTCAGAGGAAAAAAAAATATTCTAAGAAAAATTCCCAAGAAACAAATTCTGAATTGATTTCATTTTAGAAACACGGGCGTGTTTCCAAACCGAAATGCATCTTTTTCTTTCTCCTCCTCATCCCCTGAAACCTAGCAGCTGTGATTGAAAATGAAGTGGTTCCTGTCCACTTCACTTTGTTCTTTACTTGCGGTCAGCACTGAAATGGACAAGTTTCATCTTTTTTCAGCCGTCAGCTACCAAGCCTTCTGTAACACCTGAAAGCCTGCACAAGGGCCTGGAGAGAGCTGGGAAAGGCTGACTCAGGGCATCCCACAAGAGGTGAGGCTTCACTCGGGAATTTGCAAGGGGGAGAAGGAAGACTGGAAAGAAAAAAACCCCAAGCACCTACCTATGTTAACAGGGTTTTTTGGGGGGTGGGGGACTGTGGAAGGAAAAGGAAGGAAAATTAAAATGGGCAGAAATATCACTTTCCTAGTGCCTTCTGGTTGTCCCTTGGCCAGACTTGCCAGAACCCTGCTCCAGAGCCAGGGCTGAAATGGCTTTGAATGGGACCTGTGATCTGTTGATAGGGAGCTGCTGTGTGATAAGGCAAAACAATACTAAATGACTTCAGGAATTAATCATGTTGGGTAAAAATTACTCCTCTGCACTTAAGCATGAGGATAGCAGAAGGCCTACAAAGTACATGAAGACTCAGACTCAGATCTAGTTTCTATAAATTAAGATGTCATCAAAAAAGGTAACATGTAAAATAAGCCTGGTTTGTCTTTCTTAAAAGCACTTTAACAGTTACCAGGGCTCAGCTGCTGCCTGGGAACTGGTTAAGCCAAAATAACTTCAACATGAGCTTTTGCAGCCTGGCAGAGCATAAAATGAGCTGGATCGGTTTTTGTGCAAGTGGCCACGTCCCAGCTGCCACCTCACCTAGCCGAAAACCGGGGAGGAGCGGCAGGGGAGCTGCTGCCTGCGCAGTCCCTCACTTACAGGGTGACGTTGTCTGAGGGGGGGTTGAGGCACATATTGGCCAAAAGCGTGCAGTGCAAGTCCGGTTTTCGCTATGCCTTGATTTTCTTCTGCCAGGTGCTGTCACCTCTACTGGTGGTGGAGGAACGTCTTGAGTTACTACCACTGCTACCCCAGCGCTCGAGGAGGACTCTTGAGACCTGAGTTTCACTCAGTCCTTCAAATCAGAGCTGAAGCAGGACTTGGCTTTCGTGGCTCTCCCGTGTAAGCTTGGAAGGATGTGGTTTCGCCTCCTAATTTCAAGCAGGATGGCCAAAATCTTTTCCGATGGGTGAAAGGGAGCATGTTTTATCAGGAGCCACTGAGGCTCCGGACCAGAGAGTGCTGTCAGTCACAGCCACTGTGCAGAGGTACTGCAAATTATATGAACCAGAAATGAAACACTAGTTTCATGGGCACCAGGGGTTCTGTCACTGACATTAATAAACTAGGATTTTACCTGGTGTGTTAACAGGATTAAATGTGTATTATCTCTTAGTGTTGCCTTAATAAAAATCCCAGGACTCGTTCTGTTACCATGAAGTGTTTTCAGCAGTTCTATTCTTAAATACTTTTATGAATTTCTCTTGTTAAAGAAAGAAAATCAAACAAAAAGGTTAACTTATCCTCTCAGCCCAGATTTCAGTTTAAATTGCTAAATTTTCTTGTTGTGGTTTGGTGTGTTTCTCTCTAATAGAAAATTAGCACAGACTTCCCTCTGAATTCCTCCCATATGTAGTTAGTTACTACTTAATGCATTTTTTATTAATTTTATTGTGTTAATCTATTCCAATTTGGTAATGCTTCAGGGCTGTTAACATATTGTTACTATATATTACTTTAAGAAACATAGTGTCATAATTGTAATAATAATTTTTGCATTTCTGACAGATATTTGGTACTGGTACTTGGCACTTTATTTCTCATAGCTGATTTTTTTTTTTTTTTAAATTGCAGTTGTTCCTTTAGCTTATTGCATCAGTTTAAGATCTACGGCACACAAAGCTGACCACTAAATATTAACATCAACTTGAAACTCTTGCATGCATTCAAGATGGAGTGCAAGAAGGTGAAACTGCAGTTATCTGGGGATACTAATAGAAACCATAGGTAGCTTTCTTTGCAACAGGTCAACTGTAATTCTGTGAAATTCTATAAATTTCTATATTTCTAGTCTATAAATTCTATAAATTTCACAGACTTGCTGCGATGCTCCTTGCTGTAGTCTTGCAATGGAAAACAGCTGCAAGAACCCAGGAGAGCCCACTGGTTATTTTGGTTGTACATACTTTTGTGTCACTTCAACAAAAAGAGAGGCCAAACTGCTCCACCAAATTTTTCTGAAGAAACAACATATAGAAATTCTTTATTTGAATTGGTCATTTTAAATAGGCTGCAGAGAATGCAATTTGGCACAAAAATTGAGCCCACCTCTCATTAAATGGCCGCTATATTGTGTTTCAATGCTATGGCCACACTAAGATTTATGTATATTTTAAATTGCTATTGTTTTACAGTTCTTAAAAGAATGAGGCCCACAGAGTGGGGGCAGTAAGTAAAGCTGGCAAGTGCGCAGAAAACAATGTCAGTGGATTTGGAAAATGTCAGTATTTCTGGACTTCAAAGTGGGGGTTCAGCTGGGCTGGGCAAGTATTTTCTCTATTGTCCCTGGTCTCTATATCCAGTTATGGGGTTCTGCTGCAGATACAAATTTCAAAATGGACTTAAAGAAGTGGATGCATGGGGAAGCTAGCTTGGCAATATCAGCTTGCTGATACTTGCCATTATTTTAATCTGAGAGAGCGGATGGAAGCATTTTCAGGGTCTGACCCCATCAGTGCTAAAACACACGAGGAAAGCAAAATGTCTACTTACCAGATTAATTTCTGGTTAGCTATTCTGCCTTACAAGTTTAGCATCATTCCTATTTTAATACCTAGCAATTGTGTAGTCATCCGAATAAACCCAATGCAATTAATGAAGTTTAATACCCTAACCTCTCATACCAGCTTGTGCAAGTGAAAGGTAGTTTCCCCATGGATTACTGTATTTAGGTCTGACTGTTTTAGGCGACACAGACTAACATTTCATACTATTCTGATTTTTTAGCTTTAAGATCTCTACTTGAAATGTTTATTTCTGCCAAGAGGGCCTTAAAAGATCCATCCAAAGCAAAATATATTCTCTGCCTTACCACGCCACACTTCAGCGAAACACCCCTGACCAAGCTTCTGTTCCAGAAATAATGAATCACGTGCAACTTCCCATGCATCTTTAGCCAATCCAACAGTTTGAGGGGTATTATTCGTAGCAATCACAGTTAAGTTAAAACACAAACCATCAGCTTTCTCTATAGGAGAGGAAATTAATAAAAAAAACACACTTATAATCCAAAATTATGCATGCATTGAGAAAGATGGAAGGTGACTTGTCTCTCAGTGCTGCATTAAAGTTCATTTGCAAACACTGATTTTTGGATACTGAAGTTAAGGACTTTTTTGTTAGCTTGCAGAAAAAGGCTCTTCGGTATAATTAATAGATTACTATGCGAGCCTTGATTTATTATTAAGACAGTGGTAATTTGTCAAAATCAAAGCCTTCCAAGGAAACAAGGAATTTCAGTTTTCTTTTGCCATCAATTACAGTCAAAGTTGAAGATTAAAGAACTTCAGAGTCAAAGACATGATTCCAAAGACATTTTTCCTAACAGTTTGAGCTTTGCTCTTTTTTTTCTTGTGGGTCACAGTGTCCTACATTTTCACCTTCCATCTTGTAATCCCCACACAGAGAGCTATTTTAGAATAATTATTTTGCTCCATACCCATCCATACTTCCCCAAACTGCCCATTTCCCAGTCTCTTGATCAACTGTAGGGATTCTCGTGGAATTTCCCAGACATCTTTGGTTTTGACAGACAGATCAGTAAGCCTTGGCATTCCTTTATGACAGGGGACTACTAAGCGGCAGCAAAGACCTGCAGCTCTCTCTGATGGAGCCAGAAGTGAAGCCAACAGCAAAGGAGAGGAAAGAAAAAAAAGTGTGACATGAAACAAAAACAGTAAGCATAAAAACAATGCTACTCACAACAGCTGTTAGTTGCATACCACAAAGCATCCTGGAAGATTAGAAATTGAACACTGAAACATATTCATTTGAGACAGAACAGGAAATATTTTGGTCTCTGCTTCCAGAGCCTGAAATGGAAGGTGACCACCAATGGTTTCTCTTGTGGACTCAGGATTTCCCTTCTCCCACAATGCTGCATTAAGATAACTTCATGAGTAACTAGTATATTATAGTACAGTATAACTTTTTAAAAATCATCTATAAGTCACAAACTGGATTGTTTCTGTACTGAGTAAAAGAAACACAGAGAAGATTCACTTTTTCTGAAAATCACAGCAATGAAAATTTGGTGGACTTTTTTGCTCATCTTTTTCTAGGCATCCTGGGAAAAGGTATTTTCTATATTCTACTCTGTGAAAAGGTGTTTTTATAAGTGTCCCGTAAAAGACTTTTTCTGCCATTCTTTCTAGAGCAAACCTTTATTAGCTTATGCAGCCAGTCCTACATTGTTTGGGGCAGGTTCATTACACTTATCTCTCGCAAAGCTTCACAGAAGACTGAACTGTGACAAAAGTCACAAGATATTTTAGCAGGACTAAAACCAATGAGAGAGATATATATAAATATGTATATATATATATACACACATACTGTTGTGTAGTATACTATGCTGCACAAAGCAGACTACAATATAAAGCTTGCACAGCGACTTGTATCTTAAAACAGGTACAGGAACCGTGCTGATCTTTATGGAGTCATTTGGGCATCTGTGAGCTCTCCCTAGAAGTAAACCTAGGTACTCACAAGGCGCTGGGCTATTCTACCTCCCACAACCCAGAGTGCAGAGCTGGCAGTTAGAGGCAGCCTTTTTGTTTCAAGTCAGCTGAGTCTGGCATGGAATAAGGGCTCCTGTGTTCACCCGGGTCTGGGAGACTGCAGGTGAAACCTCTGGAGTGTGGGTCTGCACCATGCCCTACCTGAGCTACCCTACCTGGACCCTACTGATTATCCCTCCGTGTTGCACAGAAATGGCTGTTTCCAGATCTATTTGTTTCTGTGTTTGTGTATGGAAAATACACCACCCAAATAATTTGACCACAGAAAACTAAAGGTTGACATATACCAGCTGGTATAGTGGGGCTGAAAATTTTCTTCCTTTTAGATGTGAGTTCTTATACATTATTTGGCTCATTTTAATGTAGTCACCAGAAACAACTAGAAATTCTCCCAGGCAGCATACAACCATCAGAAATTGGGCGGAGAAGACAGCCAGATGTCTAGTATGAATAGCATAAGAATACAGCAGACAGAATACAAAGAATACAGAAAAAACATCCCACAGAGAAGTTGATTTCACAAGTAAAAATTATGAAAAGTTTTAAAGCAATGAGCATTTGGGGTCATCTGTTAATATTATGAAAAGCTAAAGTAAGGAAAAAATAAAAAGCAAAATAATTCAAATTACTAATTTCTGCTCAAAAAATGACCATGTTGAGAAGCCTGGCAGTCTCCTATGTAAGAACTGGTTGTCCTATGCAGAGGTTTGGGGGGCTTTAAAGTTGTACCTGTGGTACACCAATCGCCAGTGACAGTAGGATGCACTTTGCACTTTTGGGTTGAATAGTGCATGTCACATTTTAATCACAGGTATTTAAAAAAAAAAAAAAAAAAAGAGTGAGCTTGGTACGTGGACACAAACAGTGTGCATAAAGAAATACCCACCTTGTCATATTTATTTTTAAAATTAGACCGATTATAATTTATATGTTAATACTTTGCACATTGAACACAAATCCAGTGGGAAAATTTGAGTCAGGTAATATATGCAAACCTTTTGGTCATTGCCTTAGGTGACTGAATTCCACAATGCAATTCCGTATTTCCTTTATTAGCCATAGTATGCTGCAAAATGGTACATATTAGCACTTGCTTGTGCACAGGGAATTCATGGTTTGAGATGTGCAAGTCAAATTCAGTAATTCTGTTTGCTTAGAAGAGGGAGAGCAGGCAAAACCTTTACCTCAGTAGAGTGCTAGCTTTTAAAAGCTCTGCCGCTGTACACTGTGATCGGCACTCAAAGCCATTTATAACTGTAATGGGAAAGGGATAATGGAAGATGCATTACAACAAGCAAGAGACATAGCTCAAATGACTCTTTAGGGCATCTTACACATACATCAGCTCAGCAGTAAACACTTTTGTTTTAAAATACTTCAGAGTGCCGTGTATGATCTGAAAAATTACCTGAATAATGCTGAACCAGCTGCTGAAGAGTTTCAAATTGTGCCCGAGTTGTGATATAATATCCGCCATTGTCAAGTTTACGAATCTTATAATGTTTGACGTGATCTCCTTTCATATCATCCCAGTCTCGAATAGACAGGGAATAGGCACCTGTTCCAAGCAAAGGAGAAATAAAAAACTGTAAGTAGCTTTTAGATGCAAAGATTTTGGTTTGCTGGTCAGTTGTTATAAAATGAAAGAAAATTGCTTCCAAAAAATGCTTACTGTACCTTGAAAAACAACAAATGAATCTAACACAACGAAGTAATTACCACAGAAATCTTAGGATGTTGACATCATATCCCTTTCACACTTTTCTAGAAAGAAATCAGGACTACTGTGTAAATGAAAACTCACATTTTAACATTTACTGCTTCAGGTTGTTAAATTGACTTTTCCTATTCTAAGTGCCAGGTTACACTACAAATACTATACTTCAGGTAAATGCCAGTGGGTGGTAAATATCAAGATTTTCATAGGAAACACTGGAGATAATGACTTTATATACGTGTAGTGTTGTTACCCAGATGGATCCCAAACTTCTTTATAAACATTGAACAGCCAAATTAGCATAGTTTGTACGTCACAGTCTTTGGAAGGTGGTACTACACCAAGACTGTGCACTAGGAGATCTGCAAGAACTGCGTGTTTCACTTTCCAAATCCCTGCTGGAGCTTTAGAAGTTACTGGTGGGATTCAGATGCCCAAACACAGGGGTTAAGTGCCATGTGAGATGCCCCAGAACATCCTGCTTGGCAGTTTTCCCACAGGCCGTCATGTTTGTCGGATCCACGTGGATGCCCTGCAGGCATCTCAGATGCCTCTGGATGCTCATGGCCCCCGGTAAAGGAACTTCAACTGAGGGGCTGGATTTAGTTTTAGGTGTAGCGGTAGCTGTCTGTAGGTGGGCTACAGGCTTGATTTAGATGCCCACACATCAGCTTCTGGTGCTATTAGGGTAGCTGAATCCCAGCCTAGTTTCCGTGAGTGTTATGGCACTGTAGATATCGATGGCGTAATGCAGGTTTGAGCACTAGGTGCCTGCAGTCACGGGCAGCTGAACTGAACGCCAGCTTCCCGCTGACTGTAAAGGGAGCCTGGCCGCTGTCCTGGTTTTGCCTGGGATAGAGTTAATCTTCTTTCTAGTAGCTGGTACAGTGCTATGTTTTGAGTTCAATATGAGAAGAATGCTGATAACACACTGAAGTTTTCAGTTGTTGCTAAGTAGTGTTTAGACTAAGTCAAGGGGTTTTCAGCTTCTCATGCCCAGCCAGCAAGAAGGCTGGAGGGGCACAAGAAGTTGGGAGGTTGACACAGCCAGGACAGCTGACCCAAACTGGCCAAAGGGGTATTCCATACCATGCCCAGTATATAAACTGGGGGGAGTTGGCCTGGGGGGGGTGGATTGCTGCTCGGGGACTAACTGGGCATCAGTCTGTGAGTGGTGAGCAATTGCACTGTGTATCGCTTGTTTTGTATATTCCAATTCTTTTATTATTATTATTGTCTTTTTATTATTGTTATTATTATCATTACTGTTTTCTTCCTTTCTGTCCTATTAAACTGTTCTTATCTTAACCCAGGAGTTTTACTTTTTTTTTCCTGATTCTCTCCCCCATCCCACTGGGTGGGGGGGATTGAGCGAGCAGCTGCGTGGTGCTTAGCTGCTGGCTGAGGTTAAACCACAGCAGCCACCTACATGGGGACCTGCACATTCAGGTGTCTTAATTTGAAGCACAGTCCTATTCTACATACAGTGACAACCACATGTTGGTTCTTTACAGTGTCAAAAGCAAAGCCACATTTTACAGCAGTTTTAATGCAGTTTCTGGGCAAAACCACGGCCATTTCAAAGGCAGTGGAGAAGACAAGTCTTCACTCATGGCTCAGATGAATATTGTGTTTACTCAAAGCTAATTCAGGCATTAAAAGGAGAAAACCTAGAGGTAACTGGCAGCTGCAGAGATCTCAGGAAGGTCCTCCTTCTGGAGCCTGGGCTGCTTTCACTGGTAGCCATGTCAGCTAAGGGCAGGAAAGTAAAACCGCCAGCAGACAATTCTGGACAACATGGAAGGTGGAGTGATTTCCTACAGGTCCGACAGCAAACAGCACCAACTGCTGCTTATCCCAAGCCAGGGTACTTTTCAACACACCTGGCAGGTTCACATCCTCCAGAACCACCTCCACCTAAGTGAAATGGTTTAAGGAACCCCCCCAGTTATGCGGTTGCGATTCCTGGTGTAAGATGTCTTTCCTGGATGTTTCTCCAGGAGGAAGAGTCCCTGACCACGTTAACCTGCAACAGGTCGCACAGGCGGGCAGCTCACCGCCGAGGGAGCTGCAGTGAACAAAACGTCTCCACCCTGACTCCAAGGACTTCTCAAATTCCTGGTTGTTGTCATCTAAATATGAGGAAAAGAGCCAGGACTTACACAGATGATTCTAGTTTATGCGAATGGGAGACACCCTGAGAGGAGTGACAGGGTTTTTAATTTCTAAGTGTAGAAAAATACTGTTTGTTTAGGATATTTTTCTGAGGAGGTTCTCCCACTGAGTAAGTACATGTCTCTCAGCTAAGAGTTCAAAGCTTTTTGGGGATTTGCAAGCACATCTCATGCACGCTTTGTACCACCACTCTGGGCCGTACACTGTCAGCCTACTTTCAAAAATCTCCAGGCAGTGTTCTCCACCTCTGCATTTGTGAGTTTTGATCCACTGGCAGCAGCTGTATTTTCTTTAGTCACGCTCCCTGCCTATCTGGTCACTATTTTAGATTCTTTAGGAAAATGTAAACATTCTGTGGCTCCAGGTCTGCAATCAGAGCTGCGTGGGTGGCCCTCTGTGGACCCCCGCTGACCTCAGATCAAGTTGCAGGACTGGAGCTTTAGTTCAAATCTGGACAAAAACAAGAACCAAGATGGATTTCATTATTCATTTATTTAGGCTGTTGGTTATTTATACTATTCATTATTATCTGATGATGATACATTCAAATATAAGAGAGACACATAATAAAAATTTGGATAGAAATACGACATTACAATATATCATACTAATGAATTTTTTAAAAAAACAAACCTAAAACCAGACAGCCTTGGAGGGTGGAGATTGAAACCAGGTGAAGGATTATACAGACAAGAGCTGATGAAGTACCTGGGTAGTCAGGCCTTGAAAAAATGAAAAGCCAGCTACATATGATTTATTTTGGAAGTAAGAAGAGAAGGCAACCGTGATCAAGGGAGGTTAAATTCATGCTGAAGTCATCCATGATGATACTTTTAACATGATCCTGCTTAATTTTATTATTGTTATTATTTAAAGCAGAAGGGACGATTCTAGGCCACAAAACAATTCCTGCCTCAAGCCCAAGATGACTAGCTGGAGTAAGGCATTTTGAGAAGACTTATAGGAGAATGCACCATTCGAGCCCTTTCAGCTGACTCTTTTCTCTCTCAGAAACAACAAGCTCCCTCTGTTTTCTTCTAACAACATACTGAAACACCACAAGGATGAGAAGGGAAATAGGCATTTTTGACAAAAACCATGCATGTTTGGTTTTTTCCAACGGCTTTGATGCAAACTTAGCATGAAGATGTAGAAAGCCTTAAGTACAAATGCAGAGAAATTACGCTTGCTGCTCTAAGTCCATCCATGACGGATTACTCCATTTCCCCAATGCTTTTGTGTCTCACAAGAAGCTCTGGAAAAAAGCCCTGACTTAGCTAAGTAAACAGCCCTGCAAAACATATCCCCTATCACTGTATAAAAAATGGTCAAAACAGACTAAGCTGATAATATAATTTAGAGAAACGGTCTTGTGTTTGTTTTTAGGATCCATGGATGCCTATATGAGTGAGTTTTTAAACTTGGCACAGAGTGGAATGAAGTCCTGCTCCTCGCACACATCACAACAACTGTTGTTGAAAATGAACAGGTGGAGGCTATTTGCAGAAAAAGAACAAGTTAGAGCCTGTCTTGCTCCTGGTGAGGCTCCTGCCTCGCTGCTACATAAGGTATAGTGAAGTTGTGGGGTGACAAGATGGGAAATTAGCTGTCTGAAACAACAGCATGTCTATTCAGATTTTGCATCTGAAACAGTCTTTGGACTTATGGGCGGTGAAGGAAGAATCCAGTGACTGCAGGAGTCAAAAATGTAAAACTTACAATTTTAGATGACAGAATGCAGCATCTGAAGATAGGTCAGGTAGAGAGGAGTGGGAAGTAGTGCTGCTGTTCTCTAAACCCCGTTACCACCATGCCTCCAACCACTTTGCATGCTAACTCTAGCTGACAGAGTGTGCTCTGATCAAAGCACTGACAAGTCAGTGCTTAATTACATGAACCATCATTAGACTTCAGAACTTACATGGAATTAATTCTAGTGACTTATGCTTCCCACAGCTATTGTTTTGGATTGCTGGTTAATTGAGAAATGGCCAGGTTTGTTTTCACTTAGTTGCAGGTTTTCTCCTCAATAGCTGTATGAGTTAGATAGATCTTTTCATACATGTGAAGCTTTGAAGATGTTGACAGGCCTCATGAACAAAATGTAAAAGCAAAGATAGCACCCACTGAGAAAACTGGAACTCCTCCAAGATTTTTAGAGGGAAGGAGGAGAATACATCCTTCCACTTGGCTTCAACAGAATGGATACAGTTGAAGACTTCATGAATATATTAATTAGAAATATTTTCAAGTCTTCTCACTGTTAATCTATTAATTTAAAACTGCTACATTTTTTTTTTCTTTCCACCCAGGGATCCAGCATTTCAAAGGGGAAAGGCCAAAAAATCCCCTAATCTTCCCAAAATAATAACCAGTAACCGCGCCCCGCCCCCAATCTTATCTTACATCTTCCAGGCAAGAAGATCCGAATATTCTGCTTGTTCAGGATTAAGCGGTAATTTTCACCAAACTAGACAAGATTCCCAGCATCTGTTCACAGTAAGCTAGCTGGCTGTGCCTGGACCCAAACATGGACACTGAGAGGTCTGCCTCCTGTAGCCCCAAAGCTGCTGTTCTGAGGGGCCACTCTCCACCCAACTCCATTGCAACAGTAGTATCCTCAACACACGTGTTGAGAGAGACAGCGCGACGTTCAGAGTGTGACAGCAGAGCGGAGCACCCTGCCTGTGCATGACTTGCACTGATGATACCACGGGTTGAGCACGGCATAGATTGCACTTGGGTTGTTTTCTGCTTTGGATACTTACTCTAAGACCTCGGACGTCCACACATCTAATTCCCTAGCACACATACACGCAAGATGACGCTTATCTCTACCTTCATACCACTGAAAACAGTATTTCACAAACTTAGCACAATTTTTCTCATATATCTTCTCCTTCATTGTCAGAATAGCTTTGGCCAGCCTACCTTTGGTAGTTTCGCTCTCCCGGATCAGGAAGGTACCTCTGGGGTTTCCAAATGACAACAGCTGCCTCTCAGCATCTTTTCGGCCAAGTTTGCCAAAGTACCACCTTAGGGAACATCAGAAATAGTAAGACAAATGCTACATAGGATTACTAGGTAGTGTCATGGAGCTCAAACAGGGAAGATTATTTGCAGAAACTATTGTTACTCAAGTATATTCAACCATTTTTCTTATACTGTGTCTCTTTTACTGTGGGGGGAAGCTAATGTGGCAAATTGTGTAGTAGATGTTGTATAAGTTGTGCAGTAGCACTTTGCATTAAGCTTATAATCAATAGGTGCTGAGAATTCTTGTTTAGTGTCTTACAACAAAGGCCAGACTTTGACAAACAGAGAGCAAGACTTGGCGGGGGGGAAGGAATAGACAAGGAAAAGGGCAGAAAAATGTGTTGCTGCTGAAAAGAAGTATTTTTACAGACGTTGCTATAAACTACATATTTGACTTACATAGTGATGTATTAGTATTCAATATTTTTGTTGCAGCACAGCTATAAAACCTCAGTAGAAGGACCAGATGCAACCACTTTACTGTGGTTGTATAAGGCTTTCAGAATTTCGGTACCTTTTTCCTTCCTGCAGCAAGTTTTTGTTTTTTTTTTTTTTGTTTCACAATCAACCAAGTAGAACCTGAAGTACAGACTACAGTAGTACCTGCTCAGCTATATAAGCTCCTCCAGTGTATCTTTTATACTATAAATAATATGGATACACACAGCTCTCCGTTTTTCGCATAGATATGTCCTCATTATGCTGCCTGCTGTATGTGTTGTAGGCATCCTACCTATTGGTAGGTATTTGTTGATACAACGTGCCCTCTTTAATAGACAGTTTGCACACTAATTGACTCCAAATATTTTTACAAGTTGATTCAGGACAAGCAAGGGCACCTTTTGCTTAAAGCTTGAAATTAGTCAACACTCGAATAAAGGAAGCAGACCTATGTTCCTTTAGGTTTTCTTCCTTTGTTTTGACATTGAAAAAGCACTGAGCTTGTGCTTCTTTTGTTACTAATTACCTAATTATTTATCAGTGCAGTTAAGAACTGAAATAAAAATAATGTAAGTCATTTGAAAAATTGCTGCAATCAATCAAAACCAACTCCTCAAACCTCCTTAAAATACAGCACTAATGGGTCTTTACAACAAAAAGAAAACATACTCCTCTGCTTGGATGGAATCGACTGGAGCCACATAATTACTGGGAATGTAACCAGTTTCGCCTGTTGTCAAGGACCGGGCCTCCCACCAGTCTCCTTCCCTGCAGAAACAGAGGTTAGGAGAAGTGAGAGCGAGACACGGATGTAAAGGCAATGGTCTGACTTTGCTAACAGCACCCGCAGCTGCATGGCGTTAAGAAGCCACAGCAACTCATCTCTTTATCACTTGTGTGCTTCTGAGAGAGGTGTTTGCATCTAAGCCCAAATAATATATGTATTTCTTTACACTTATTATTATTTCAGCGGTGGTTAGTAATGTAGCCTTCCAAATGTAGCATAATGGCATAAACAGGCATAACAACCCAGTGAAATCAGGTTTGCTGAGGGCTGGATTTGGACTAGAATATTGAAAACTGTCTCCATAGCAATTATTCTAATGTGGACCCTTGAGAGAGCTTATAGAAAAACTGCCAAACTGAACACTGTCACATCCACTGCTAATTTTAAACTTCTGTGGGGATAATTAATCTGAAACCCAAAGGCATCAAAAAGCCATCAATCAACATGGAGTTTTAGATGGCCCTTGAGGATCACACTTCATTGTCTAGATTCCTCTCCTGGCCACCTAGAGGAGGTATCTGAAGTAGCAAAGGACTTAGCTGCATTTTCAAATACTTACAAAACCCCATTCTTCTACAACATTTAAACATGAAGAGGTCCATGCAGGACCATCTCATGGCAGCGTTCCACAGGCTTAGCATCAATTTTTGTCCTACACTGGTGCACACAGTGGGACATGGTACTGCACTTCAGACAGTGTGCGTTGCTGTAGAATGCGCAGCTTTATGAGAAGTTTATTTCTCAGCTTTTTACAAGATGCAGTGATTTGGGATTTAGCAATTTGTATTTCATTCTCAGCACCAGCTTCACCGATGTTTAACTCCTACTGCTACTAATAAGCATTCTCTTTTCTATTTCTGGACTGCTTAGAAACTCTTTCTCAGTTCCCCTCTCTGTAAAACAGACATCTGTTCGCTAAATAAAACACTATTGTCAAACACGGCCAGAGAATTCAGCCTCTTCTGTAAGCAAGCAGTTACAGAGAACACATTGTGTAAGCTATTACTGGCAGGAAAGGTTGTGTCAAGGTGAGCTCTTTAAATTTTCAACTCCACTTTCTTTAACACTTTGAAGGAGTACAAACTCTATAGAAGACAATGAGAAAACAGCTGTGATTAGTCAAAAAGGAGACATTTCCAATTCTACAGTTCAAAAAAGTGAAGAACAAGTAGCTTTTCTAGAGGCTGGCAGCTGACGCTATTTTAATACACCTTGAGTGCATTAGTATGCCAGGCAAATGGCCCTATCTGTTTGCGTCCCTAATTTTACTAGCTGAAGTGCTAGCCCTTCCCCCATATGTTGCTGTAGAATATTTTTTGAGAGATTATGCCATACTGTGGTTGATAAATTGTACCATTATATTTGTTCTGCTTACTGTACAGAGAGTCCACTAGATGGAGGTATTTTATCATATCTAGGGAGGAAAAACCCAGTCTTGTAGATGATCACACCATCAGGGACAACCCCCTCTGCTTTGACAGAGAAGCTTAAATGTCTCAAAGCACTGCCAGAAAGGAGGAAGAATCCAGACTTTTTTCCTGGCTCTTAATTTTAGACACCCAACTGAGGTAGGAGGAGGCTAGTCAATAGGGCTAGCCAGGGTGTGTGTGGGGGGGTGGTGGGGATGTGGTGGGGCTGAGTGTTTCTCAGTCAGGCTCTGCTCTGAACCACCCCTGCAGGTACCTCTTTCCCCCAGACTGCCCTTGGTATAATTTCTGACTTCAAATCACAGGGATAACCTTTGTGTGCCATTTCAGGTATGGCTGTCCGGAACTTCTAATCCAAAGCACAAATCAAATTTCATTCGTGGAGAGCTAAAAAAAAATCCAAACCCCTCCAAAAATTCCGGACAAACTAGTGCACATATATGCTTTCTGGCTGCAAGCAGTATTGGCAGACTCTTAAAAAAAAAGGCTTCTTTCATATCATTTCTGATATAAGTGAGAGAGGAAGAATTCTCACAGAAAAGCTGCTTTCTGGTGATTCCCAGCCTGGCTGTCACTACTCCAGGAGTGTGGTTAGGTCCGTGTTTGTAAGTAGACAGAGCTGACTACGATGGGAACTGAGCTTCTATAATCCTACAGGAAAATCAGTGGATGCTTGGGGGTTTTTTTGTTTGTTTGGTTTTTTTTTTTTCTTTTAGAAAACCTTTCTCCAGGCAGTAATTACTTGCATCAAAATGCATGTACTGCAACCATCCACACGTGGGGGAATCTCTCTGTCCCACTGACTCCAAGTATGATTGCTCCGCAAGTCCCCATGAGCATCCCCTGATTTCATCAACTGGCGTGTGTAAGGAATTTAGAATGCATGGAATTTCTTCTTGTTTCAAGTTATGGCATAGTTTGTGCAAGGTTAGGAAAGCAGCAGGCAACGTGAACAAAATGGATGATAGGTTAAAAAAGGTTTTTTTTCCAAGTGCTAATTTAGAAGTAGAGAGGTTTTTAAACTGCTGCTCCCTCTAAAAGTCGTAACTGAAGTTCCTGTGCTTTCATCTACATCAAAGCTCTCCAGCTTCATGGCTTCATGAAATATTCCGCAGAATTACCTGATTTATTTATTTTTTTACTTTAATGCACATTGAGCCAATTCCAACCCTGGAGTTGTTCTATTAAAATTAACAGGAGTTGCACCAGGGATGAATTTGCCTCACCGTCACATAGTGTAAGAAAAAAAGATGAGAGCAATATAACAAAGCCTCTAGAAAGTGACATACTTGGTTGTTAACCCATTTTTACCTCTATGTGATAGCAATACTGAACATAACACAGAGCCTTCAACTTTATGTTCTTAGCCAAGAATTACAAGATGTTCAGATATAGGTCAGTAGCACAGTAAGTTTTAGATGTTATTTTTAAATTTGCTAAGGGATTTTTTTCTATGGGCAATTAATAAAATTAATTTTAAGTTGATGATTTCCAGGATGGAAGTGTGGTTTTCATGCCAAATGCAACTGTACAATGGTGTATTCTCACGTAACAGAACTTCCTAGCATGTTCTGACTGTATCACCTACCTTTAAAAGGAAAAAAAAATGCTTTTAAATTGGCATGCAAGTCTGGGTAACGTCTCTTTTGTGAATCAGTTTTCAGCTCGTTTCTGCATAGAGATACTTGTGGCAGATTGCAAAAAGTGTTAGCACATGCCTTGCAGAACTTCTGTGACTACTGGTAAAGTACAGAGCTGGTACTCTCAGTTCTGCATGTGAGTTTACTGTGAAATGTAAGCAGTGAATCACACAATCTAAAACTTATTTTTGAAGTAAAGCTGCATGTGGTTGGTGTTTTTTTTTTTAATAATAAGGCACTTTGCAAAAGTGCACTAAATGCAAAGACAAGTTAGTAAGCATAGAGTAAAACCCCTATATATCTTGAATATCCAACATTAGATTTTACTAATAACATAAGCAAATATAATTGTCAACATTATCAGTTTCAAAATATTAAAGAGCACATTCCCAAGCCTAAAACTTACGAGCTGTTAAGTATTTGAAATTTTTCTCCTTTGTGAAAACTCAAGTCATCTTCTGTTCTTGCTTCATAGTCATAAAGCGCCACAAAAAGAGTTACGCCTAAAGAAGAAGATAGGTGAGTTACACTCCATCACAAAAAACAGGAGGGAAAGGAGCCTCAAGAGATGAGGTGGCTAAGCCAAATGTAAGCTACTTTGGCTGCTGAGGAGCAAAGTAAATTGAAGCCTCCTACTCTTTGGACAACCATTCTAATCCCTCTACTTTTATGCAGCCAGCGGGCATGCCGCCTCCTTCACTCTGTACAGTCGCCAGTACTCTTGGTTTGGTACCCACACACAGTGTAGGATCCCAAGTGGGCAAAGGGGGTTTGAAGAGAGAGTTTAGACATAGCCATGCCAAGTATTTGCTGTCAACTACTTGAGGTGGCTCAGACCACACTTTCTGTTCCCTGGTAGAGGGATGAGGCAGTCAGTCAGCCAAATTGGGCATGTATACATAATTTCTCAACCCTGAAGTGAACGAGCACCTGCAAGTTAGCAAAGGTAGGGCTGAAGACCCAGCTCCACCCCTACCTCAATTCTTTGCACTGTTTAATGAAATAACTCTTCCCCAAAGCAGCATGCTGAGGCAGTTGTGCCTCTGCTGTAATTACGTGACTAATACTCACTAAGAGCACTGAAAGAAGACTTTGAAACTCACCTGTTCCTCCTCTTGTACGCAGCGTCCCTGTATGAGAGGAGGAATTGACTCCACCAAACACAGTCAGTCCTTGGCCTCCTGTGGCATGGAAGTTGTTGTAGTTTGGGATTGAAGTCACACCAAAGCTAGGATAGTGCTGTGGAGTGGGATCTGTCCCATAGCGGTAGCCTGAGCTTTGTGTTAAACTGCCATCCCTCTCGTCAGTCAGTTTTGTTGCTTCTTTATCCTTACATTGCACACAGCCCATTATCTAAAATCCTAGGAGAGGAAGGAAAAGACAGGTGTTTATACCTTGATGCTCACCAGATCTCCCCTAAACCCACATATGATGAGGATCAAATTAAGTTCACCACTCAAAAGTCAAGTACTTTGAAAAAACCCCACGGTGGTTTGAATCTAAACAGCAACACATTGGGAAAAGCTCACACAAAACCTTCCTCGCAGTGGTTTCCCATCGAGACCTGGGGAAGGAGGTCCTGCCTGCTCTTCGGGTAGTGGCAGCTCTCTGCCCAGCCCTGCCAGTCAGTGGCTTGCAGGGAGGCAGCGAGAGGATGAAACCCCTCTTGCTCACCCTTCGCCAGGAGAGCACGACTGGCAGGCAAAGGACTCGGCCAAAAAGTGCAGCTGGAGGTGTTCAAGTCTGCCCTCCAAAACACAGAGGAAGGCACTCAGCTCACGGCTCATGTTTGACCTCACCAACTACACGAGAGCTGACTTCACCTAAAGGCAATACAACCTTTTTCCATTGCTGGAGCTCTGCGTGACAGGGAGAAAAGCAGACACAATGAGCCGATAGCTATCACAGCACAGGAAAGTAGGAGGGAGCTATCAGATGGCACAACTAAACCGAAAGGAAGCGCCCTTTTATGCAGTACCGAACTGAAGGGTAAGATCTGCTGGTAGCAGAAGGTGGGGCTGCCAAAGGTATACATGAGTTAAGAAACTAGAGAAAGTCCCAGAAGAATTAACATGTCAAATGCAGAGCATCTCAAAGTCTAGATCCCGGACTGGAGGAAACCGAGAGGGTACGGCTTGGAAAAGGTTGCTCTAAGTTTTTTAATTCTTGTAACCTCTTGTTCAGCACCCTCATGGGGCACTACCAGGGCCTGGGTTAATCTCTCTTCATTTTAGGTGCCTACCTCTCTCTAGGTGGAGGGAGACAGAGGGTGATTTGCCACATCTTAGCAGCAGCCCTCCAAGTTTAATCCGGTTACCTGGTATTGCTTTTCATCTGTGAGCTCTAACATCTTATAATCCATGTGGTGGCGTTACTGAACTCTGTCCTATTGACTCAAGCTGAATCTAGACACAAAACCTGAGTTTCTGAAGCTGGGTGTGATGAATCTAGGGAATCAGATACTCATCCGGATGCACCCTTGATCTGAACCGGTACAGCGACTCTTAATGTAACCTGGCACACAAACAACATACTCTAAACACTGGGGCTGCAAGAAGAGCAATGACAATAGAAAAATCTTTAAAAAATTAGACTTACTAGACATGCTTTGTCCAGAATATATGAATAAACAGGGAGAAAATGCAGAGAACACAAAAAAAAGGAAAAGTATAGCGAAGCACATTTCCCCCCCACATTATTTCCACATTTCAGCCAATATCCATCCCTTAGGGTAAATAAAAAGCCTATCCTTTTCCAAATATCCTCATTTTTCTGTAGCTGCCATGCTGGATGTTTTGTATGCCTTACCCCAACATCAACACAGGAAATTGGTTTTGACAAACCCATGGGATTCAGAAAAAGCATATTCCTCCACTGCTAATGCTTGAAAAATTATGCAGCAGCTCCCTGCTTGTCTGTGACAGTCTACAGTCCGGATATGTGCTTCCTAAATCTAACCTGCCTAATTAAAAAAACCCTTCTGTTGAAGGTTATTTTCTTCAATTTGAAGATACTTCCAGTTATTCTACAAGCCTGTTCAGAAAAACAAGCGCCATTTTTAATGTATTTCCCTGAGCTGTATTGCCTGCTGTTAGCACAGGTCTATCGTCTCTTGCTGTTCGCTTAACTTAAAGGTGCCCTTTTTGCATTTCTTTATTTCCTTCAAGACACCACATCCACTCAGCAGAGTTCCCTCACCAAAATGTTTAAGTCTCTTTACACAAACAGAAGCAAGGACTCCTGACTCTGCCCTTGCTGCAATATGTGGCACGAGCTGGGATCCCTCAAGAAACTAAAGGCACAACAGGTCGTGGGAAAGGGGTTTGCAGCCTGGAAGCTGCAAAACACACTGCTGCTGCTACTGCTGCGGCAGCCGTGCTGGCTGGGTCGGTGCTGGAGGGGGCTCGAGGTTGTCCACCCCCAGGACCAGCAATGACTCCAGCTGAGCCCACAGGGACGGCGATGGGTGCAGAGGTGACCCGGCCAGCTTTGTATCACCTGCGAAAAACTGCTTGCGGAGATACCTCTGCTGCTTTTGCCCGTTTCAACAGCAGGACGGTCTGGCTCTGGAGATCCTCTGTTTGGAGATGTCACTCAGAGGTGAGGTTTTCCCAGCTCCTCTCAGAGCCGAGGAGCCCCACGAGCGATGCCGGGGAGTGAAGCAGGACCACAGGGAGGGCGAGAGCCCCACGGGGCGACGGCTCGTCTCACTGCTGTCAGCACGGGCAGAGCCCAGGGAGGCTTCGGGTGGGAGGGATGGGTCTGGGACTCACTGCTTGGACCCTGCTATGCCTCTGCGGGAGCATTCCTCCGGTGCGCGGAGAGCAAAACACGGGTAGCGAGCAAATGCTACATGGGAGATGCCACGAGGGAAATCCCAGCTCGAGAGAAAGGGCAGAGAGAGGCACTGACCATCCAAACAGGGAAGAGTGAGCCTTTAAAGCAGACTGGTTAAAAGGTACAAGTGCTGGAACATAGGCTTATTCACCTCAAAACAGTTAAGTGATATGCAGGCTTTACTATTTAAAGAAGAATCTCAGCAGCCTTTCTGTTGGCTTGCAAACTTACCTCCCTGTGAAACTCTTACCGCCTCCTCCCTTTCCCCTCCCAACTCTGTTTCTCCTCTTATTTTTTCCCGTGTGTTTTCATGGGAAAAAGTAGAAAAGAAAATGAAAGAATGAAAGGAAAAAAAGATGGGAAACATGAAATCTGGGGAGTGGTGAGTGGAAAGGGGTTTTCTTGTTGCTCATTCACAAACGTTCAGCTGAGCAGGGAGAAAAATCTCCACTGAAATCTGGGAAGATTTCGCATACCAATTTACAAGTGCTGACAAGACAGCCCTACATACTTCATTTACACACTGATGAGGAAAAAGTTAAAACAACAAATCAGCTACAAAAAAAAAAAATTTGTTCAAAGTATTAATTCTGAAAGAGGTTAATAAATCAGGAGATGGTATACATATGTACAGGTAGTTTCAGAAAAATAATGGTTTGTGGATTTCTTTTTATAAGGAATGATATGAATAGAAAACCAGCAAATTGTCAGTTTCTTGATTTTTGTTTGGTTTTTGCTCCCTTCATCTTTTTGCTGGCAATGGCAGCACACAGGGAAGGAGAATTTGATGCAAAGTGAATGACTGACAAAAAGGGCTTTTTCTTTCACTTGCCCTCTCCCGCTTTGTCACAGTGTCTAGACAATCCGAGCGTAAAGACTGCTTGATTGTAGCCTCTTGTAAAATGTGACAGAGGGTGTTACATGCACACATCTTTTCAAGCCAAGTCCCTGAAAGTTGTCTGTTCCTGTCTCAAAGAAACCAGCATCATGGGGAGTTGGCTAAATGTGAGAGAATACATGTATGCATGTACATGCTTAAAGTGATTTCAGCTAACTCAGGGGTTTCATAGACAATAAATATAGCCTCCATTCAGCATTGGCCTTTGTGTCAATGAACGGATTCCAAAAACTAATCTCCTTCAGTATCACAGAGCAGGCTTTTAATATCCGAAAGTCTCATCTCCCTGCATGTCAGCATTTGAAGCTGTGGAAGGCTGGAGTTATTCAGCCAGCTCTGAGATCACCAAACAAAATCTGGAGCTGTTTTACACTAAACTCTCTAGGGACGAGCACACAACATTGTCCATCCAATATGCTGCGCAACTTACAGTAAAGGAACAAGGTTTATTCATTTCCATTAGGAAAAGCAGCATTTCTCAGATGTGTGAGTTATGGGTCACGCAACATTGTCATAATTTGACACTGGTATTGTTAAAAGGTATGTAACTAGCCTAATTAAAATGAACTTTTCTAATGCAAGCAAGTTGAATTTGTTTATTTTAAAGTTGTGTTTTTATGGTCAATATAAAACATGTGTTTTCATGAAAACTTAAAACATTTACATGGTTTTTGATACTTCCTTAGAGACACATGAAAATAACCATCATGTTATTTGTCTCCTTTCCTGTCCTTGCTATGTTTCTTGGACTCCAACATTCACACTGCAAGCAATCCAACATCAGCCTAACCAGAATAGTAGTTTCCTCCCACATGGTGGAAATGTTATTCGACAAAGTTATAACATAAATCATATAATTATTAATTATTTACATAGTCATAGCACCTTAATTACTTTCAGTTAGGAAACAGATGAAGGCTAAGGAGATGTTATTAACACTATTATTATTATCATCGTAAATCACCCTCTTTCAGTTTTTCTGTCAGTTCTTGATACAAAATGGAAGCCAAGACTGAAACACCCGCCAAAGCCAGACATCCACTCCATTAACAGAAACAAAAGCAGTCCTCTGTTAGCTAATCAAAGCCTAGGAAAAGTCCAGGAGTACCAGGAAAGGTAAATTTTTCATACTTCTATTTGAAAAGTAAAAGCTCCAACACGTGATATTTGAAAAGCAAAAAGTATTGGTAAGCCTTTGCTTAATCTAGCTTCTGCAGTTGTAAGCCATCAGGAAAAGATGGATGTGAGGAAGACTGGTGTAAATTGACTCCTTCAGAACATCAGAAGATTTTCCATGAGATTTTGCAACTCACAGCTGAAACTCTGAGTTACGGTACCTCTTCAGAACCTGATTTTTTGGGTATTGTAGGAGAAAGTGGGTCTCTAAAATGCTTGAGAGAGGGGTACAGGGAGATGCAAGGAAAAACCTGCCTGTTCTGCACCTTCCTATCCATGCCATGGTCTCTGTCCTCCAACCCCTTCTGTAGGAAAAGAGACCACCACGGGAGAGGGCTCCAACCTGCTGCAGAGATATGGAGCAGGTTCAGACCCAGCAGGGCACATTGTCCTTCCTCCTGGTTTTCTCTGGAATAAAATTTGATGGTATATTTTTAGGAGAACTTCTTT